AAGAAGGTGGTGTGTGTGGACCAGCAGAGGCCCAGTCTCCATAACAGGCTTCATTCCCACCCTGTAGGCCATCTGATGACACATATATGGTACACATGTTACATTCTATTGTAATAGCCGGGTGGAATTTTATATTTTTCTCTTGTGTCATAGATCTTGTCGGCCATTGTGAAGATCATGAAGGAGTGTTGGTACCAGAGCCCACAAGCCCGCCTCACAGCCCTCCGAGTAAGGAAGACGCTTTCCAAACTGGACCACGACAGTGACTTCAGCATCGAGAAACTCAAGCGGGACGTCTAGACCGAAGCACTAGGATAAAACAGGGACTAAAGATTGAAAACGCCGGAAGGGATTTTGCACCACATTCCAACAGCACAAGGTGCATATCATTAGCATATTTTGAGCTAATGACTCACACAGTCACTGCATTATATTAAAACCATATGACTTTTAGCAGTAGTGTCTAGACTGGTTCGCACCCAAGGCTATGTTTTATGCATAGCCTAATTTCATCTGCCATATGTCTGGTGCCTCAAACCAAGAGGCCCCAACAAGAAAACTATTAAGACCAAAACTGTTTATCAAGGTTTTTCTTTTTGTTATGTTATAATTAACCGAACAATTCACTGGCTATTGTACACATACAGGCTTTTAATCATTATTGTCTAAAACTCCCATCATCATGACTAAAAGGAAAATCTAGCACAGCACAATTACTCATCCTCTTATCGAGAGAAGGAGAACATCATCCTGGTTTTTTTCTGATTTACAGTACAATTGCACTTACGGGGTTTTCCCATGATGACCAAAGTCACAGAAAGTTACAGAGAACACAAATGAATACAGGAAATATGTAAGTAATAACATGCTCATACCCAAGCACATTACTTTTTGTGAAAGCATATTTAACTTATGTAGAATGAGCATTTATTTTATGCACACAGACACATTGAGCTATTTAGTTGTACATATTCTAACAGCAGGGAAACTGTTGTCTTGTATCACCATTGGGTTTATTGTAAATATATTTCCAATGGGGTATTACTTTCTATTACTCAACAATGAGACACATTTTATATACCTTTTTGTACAACACAACCTTCAAATTATTTTTTTACATTTCTGTAGGCCTAAAATGTACCATACCATCACCATTACTATGGTCAGTAAAGAAATTCACAAACAGACGTATAATATTGTGTATGTTGAATAAAGGATTGTATTTTTCAACCGTTTGTGTTGTACATGCTATTTTGTACCATTAATGTTTGCAATTCTTTCATTGACCAGTAGAGGTCATCAGATAATAGACAAACAGTGATCCATACAGTTTACAGTAGTGCAGCTTAACTTGGGAGATTTATTGTGTAATCGGTTTTGCAATCATGTTTTCATTTGCAAAAAAAAAGTTAAGACCAATATTTCATTTCATCATAACACTGAAGTATAATCAACAGTTACTAATGTCAGGGGAAGGAAGAGGATTGATTATTTTACAGGACTATAATAACCAGTAGTGCAGTGGTGCCTGGAGAAGTGGGTACTCTTAATTTATGCCTTTTTTTTGTTAAAGTGGCCTGTACAGCAGAGGATAGGGACACCCTGTGTTATTAACAGTGACATGTAAGACTACTCTTGCATATTTAGTTCACATAAAAATGACCAAGTAGTATTTGCACATTGTCACTTAACTTCCGCTGCTTGACTTCGGGGAGTAAGGATCATTATGAAAATAACATTAGGCACAGAAGACGTGCAGATCATCAGAGGGGATTTAGAAGTGGTTATACCCAATGCTGACTGAAAAATAAGTAGGTATACTCTGTAAACTTGTGTATGCCCTGCACTACACGCCTGATAATAACCCACATATTACATGCACGAAAATTTAAAATGATATTAAGATGTTCACATTTTCTCTCAGCAACACTAACCTCACATACTGAGATGCTAAACTAGAAAATATAAATAACGAATGGAAGACAAGCCTGACTGAATGGGGACTTCATGAATGAACATGTAAAAGATAAGTTTATATATTCATTTTGCTGCATTATTCTTAGTAGTTTTTGATGTGATGTTCTCTATACATTAATATGTATAGAAAATATTCAACATAACCTTTCATTTGTTTATGTTTCACTTTGTAAATGAAAAATGCCACCATTGTTTTACTGATTGATGTTCTTGTATTCTTCTTATTTTGTACAGTGTCTTTGAGTATTCAGAAAAGCGCTTTCTAAATAAAAATGTATTATTATTATTATTTAAAAGGGAAAAAAATGACATATGTCAAAAACACAACTAATTCTGTTCTCAAAATCATAACTATCAGGAAACATTTTTGTTCACAGGTGAGTCACAAATCTAACCATAACCACTTGTTTCTGGCTTCTACCCGAGCAGCCAAGGTGTATGATCAGGTGTCAGATTTGTCACTTTGTCTAGAAATACATATTTTGCTTTCCTGGTGATATGGTGAGAAAATGTTGTCAAAGCAAAGCAACAAGTTTGAGGTCCGGTGGTTGGACAAAATAATTGTTTCAGCTCTGTCCCCTTCATGTCAGATCTTCATGGCAATGTTTTCCTTTTGTATCTGTCCTGCTTGCTCTTCCTTTATCTATCAGTGTGTGCATGTGTGTGTATATGTAGTGTGTGCTTTCTGTCTGCCTGGTTGTTGAACAAACTCCAGAGAGATAATACTCCCTCAAAGCCCCAGTCTGTCTGGTCAGTCCGATGAAGAGCTGGTTATTTTTAACACTGCAGGGGGGGTAGTTCAAGTATCAGAGAGGCCAAACTCCCTGCCTGTGAGTGCAGAAGCCCATCTCACTTCTCCCTCTGTTCCCCTCCTCTGTGTATTCTTTTTCTCAGTGGGATCATTCCAAATGGCTCAATAGAGACAGAGGGATTTGTTCAGCAGACAACGTACACTGAAGAAATGTGGAGATAAATTGGACAGGGCCGATAAGGGACAGATACAAAGCCAAAGAGGAGAATATGCAGACACAATTAGGCTTGAGGATAGATCAGTGAGAGTGCTAGCAAGAGGACAGGTGATAAAAGCAAGTGCAGATCAAGTCCCAAATGCACCTGGTTACAGCCTGACTCACCTTTTCCTGAGCTACTTTCACAAGTGGTGGCAGCTGGATGCAATAGAGGGGTATAGACTGGCTGGGTGCCCAAGATGTGAGAAAAACCATGAGTGGATCTGGACCAAAGCACCTCTTGTGATCTTTAGGTCGATGATTATTTTACACTCTCTCACTAAAAACTGCAAGCAGCTGTAACTTTCTCAAAAATCTGATACAGCAGCTGATATGTGATCTGAGGTAAACTGGAACAATAAGGGTCTCCTTTATGCAGACTCAAACCAAAAACCGGCTGCCTTCTAACCTAAATCCATACTAAGAGAAAAGGTTTAGTAGTCGGTCACAGTCACTTCGGATTTCTCTTCCATTTGCATTAGAGGACCATGTCATGCCTGACTTCAGATGTCTACTTTGAATGAAGGCGTAGCCTATTTAAATTAGAGTCATGAGTTTGGTGACAGCTCCTCTGCACACAGTTTTCAGGTACAATATGTTCTCATCAGATCAGATGTTCACCATTGTTTTTAAATTATCTTCATCAAGACCTTTTTTTTAGACCCAGTTTATTCTCTGAATACATATTTGTCTCAAAAAGTACAGTCTTGAGCAATAGCCTCAATCAGGAATGCTTAAATTAATCACAGCTGAGTTAAGCCAAGGAAGGGAAAACTGATTCATGACTTGCTGTTTGTTTTATGGAAAAAAATTGAATTACCCACATGTTTAGTTTGGAATAATCATTAGGACAATGTGATAATAATAAATCATTGTATACTCGTTAAAAAATGATCCAGTAATGTAGAGAAGTAGTCATAATTTGCTGCTTCCTATAATAAAATAATTCAGATAATTAAATCCCTGGGTGCATATTTTAAAGACAAATAACACAAAGATGATCATATTATTTTCACTGTTTTTGTTAACATTATCTTTACGAGTAAAACCCATTTCTTTGTGTTATGACAAGATAGACAAGATTTTAAGATTTTACTTTTTTTAATAATAATTAAAATGGAAGATGGCTAGTTAGATCAAGAACGCCAAAACCAATCGATACTTAATTTACCCAACATATATAGTGTGACCTCTCATAGTCACATAACAATCATTGAATAGTCACATAGGCTAAGAGTAAACTGAATGTAGAAGAAGTAGTCATAATGAGTTAAGATACTGACTGACTTCACATAGCCTAATTAAATCCCTGGGTACAACGAAGATTATATTTTTTATTCATTTGTTTAACATATTTCTTCTATTTTATGTCATGAAAATAGACATTATGAGTTTACATTTTCAGTAGATTTCACTCCCTGAACACATTTTTGTTTCATATGGATTAATTCATTCCTAAGTAACAACCTCAATCAAGGTTAAAGCTTCAATGTATTCATCCATAAAATAAAATCGCACAGTTATCAACCGGTGCTGATTACAGAAGATATAAATACTCAATAAAATAACTAATCACAACATTATAATTACACTGGATAATGCTGGATAACTTGGCGTTATTCTTGCTTACTCTTGTCTTTGACCACAAGATAAGATGTTCCTTTACTGATCCCCCGTAGGAGAAATTCAAGTTAATGTGGTGCAAAAGTACAATAAAGAATCACAAAATAAGAATATCATAAAATATTATAGAAAATATATACACTATATATATATATATATATATATATATATATATATATATATATATATATATATATATATGCGGTAAAATGGTGTGCAAAATATCAAACCATATGAGTCAGACAGATGGTAATTCACCCAACTTTGTTTTTTAGTTCTTATTATTTACAACACACAGCTCTGACCTCGGTGGCAGAGGGGACGTGCATCAGGCAGCCCTCCCCTTTAAACATGCACGCACACACCCCTTTAAACACGTCACTCGCCTGGCTGGCTGGCTGGCTAGTATTTGGCGGTGTGGTGTGTGTGTATGTGTGTATGTGTGGATGTGTCTGTGTGCTTGTATGTGTGTGTGCGGTCGGTCTGTGGTTGTGTTTCAGGTCTGGTCGTGTTGATAACGACACACTTCGGACGCATTTCATCGCGGAGAGATGGGAATTCAGAAGAAATGGCTCTAAAACAAATTGCCCTAACGCTGCTGGCCCTGCTCGGGTTGGTGGCTGTCGGTAATGGTAAGTTTTCAGCTGAGCACCTCTCCGGCTTTTGTCTCGATGTGTTTTCCTGGACTGGGCATCGCCTGTTGTCGCTCATCGTCATGGCGCTCTGTATCAGGGATTTGGCTAACCGTATCTAGCTAGCGTCGACCTCAAATAAACCTTCACGGTTGGTTGTTGGTTCAAAAAGTCACGTTGTTTTGTTTGTTTGTGGTTGATTTTGATTTTTTATCGACTGACTTTAAAAAAAATAAATAAAAAAAAATAAAAAAAACCCGACGTGTTAGTGGTCGAGTACCACAATAACAACATGGTGGGGGCTGTTTTTGTTTCGAGGCAGCTAACGTCGGCTAGCTTAAAACTGGATAATGAACTGTGTAAAGTTTAAATATGATCGATAATTGTGCCTTCTGTTGACTGAATTTAAAAACCGTCCATATTGTGGCGTACGGGCAAGACCGAGAGGCGAGTAATAAATCGACAGTCTGCAATGTTGAGGCTGGAGTTAAATGTCGCTGTTATGCTAACATATTTACAAAACACTCTCGTGTTGGCTTGTGACTGCTTATCGGTGCCTTGCTCGGGTACAACACCTCTGTAGTGATAGCGTTATTGGTTAAACATGTGCAGTGTGGTCGGTTGCAGTCTCCCACCCCCCCTCTCTCTCACACATGTAGTGTGCGCTGGGCACGGAGCAGAAAGAGGAGTCTCTGAATGAAGGCCTAACCTACTTTGTGCATGAAATGTGTTTTTTGAGAGTAAACACTGGCAGCTCTTCCATTGGTGTCCATTTGTAAGGAGTGAAAAGGCTGCTTAGTGGCCTCCAGCAGAAAGTGAATGCTGGCATAGGGTGACAACAGCCGTGTATTCATCCGTCCCAGACAGAAGTCAGAGTTGAAGTCTGGGTTCATTGTGATGGAAATGTGGCAAGTGGGGTCTTTTGAGGCGCCAGTTATGGGGCTGCTTCAGTCTGAATTGTCCCCTTCTGCTGGAGCAGCTGATACCCAGCTCCACACCACAGCCTCAACTGGGCATATGTTGCACTCAAAACTTGTGGGTGTTTGCCTCTGCAGCATGTCTGCTCATCTTTTGACTTTACTCCAAACACGCTACGTTAGGATTTAATAGATTTTCACTTGAGGCACAGTCATTTCTTGGATTACGCAAACCCTGACATATACAATTCATTTCCCAGCAGCGGCTCTCTCCGATTTTTTTTTTTTTTTCTCTTCCCATGAGCTCTTCTTTTTGAGATACCTTGTTAGAACTTGCCACTCAACAGATAAACTAAGTAGTCAGAAGTCGAAAATCACCTCTGTGTGCCAGAGTAAACACTATGATTGCATTTGTCGGCTATTAGAGAGTATGTTGTGCTTTAACCACTTGAGTCATCCTACCAAGAGACACATGAATATTCCACCCCCGCTTAGTTTAGACAAGGGTTCGGTACACCCGAGGTTGATGAGTTCGTTTAAGGCATGCTAGAAAAGTGATCACACCTGAGTGGTCAGTTTGTTTGACTGGGTTACTCCAACAATAACAGTGATGTGTGAGGGGAGAGTGGGGGTGGGTGTGTGGCCGGAGTAGACGGGGGTGATGATGGGTTTGTCCAGCTGGCGGGGTCTGTCGCGTAGGGGGCCCACAAGTCTGTCTGGAGCCATGGTTTTCCACCATATAATGGATTACGCCATGAAAGGACTGAAACCAGACGAGCCTGAAAGTAGCTATGCTAGAGCAGATTCCAGGCATGTGGCAAGTGTAGTATGTTTTCTGTGAGAATACTCGTCACTCAGAGGTTTGATGAATCTCTCACGTGTTGTTGACTTCATAAGGATTAGGAGTCACTGGTATTATGGGCATTGCATGCCTGTGTGACGCCGTCTGCCCGGTTGCATTGAAAACAATAGCAATGTGATATGGGCACTGTCAACCACACTGCCTTGAGGTAGGGCGCGTCCCTCTCTTTTGCTTTTCCTCCCGCCCCCTCCATCCTCTATCTCTGTCATATAAAAGGCCTGGTGCTTATCAGAATTTAATCTGTACTTTGTTATCTGTGGTCTCACTTCTGCTTTCACTTACTCACTGCCACCATAGGGTGCTAAAAAAGGCTTTAGCATGGGCAGTGTTTTTCCTAAGAAGGCCTTTGGTTACATGAACTCTGCACTCACTTTTAGTAGCTCTTCCACATACTATCAAGACTGTTCCAGAGTCCTGTCATTGCCTCATGTGTAAAAAGACAAAGACAGGGCGATTGGAAACTGAAAAGTCCCTCTTTCTCAACTAGTTCAGGGCAGAGCCAACTCTGCTACAGGTGCTGTTTAATTTCAAACTCTATGTGAGTGAGTTCAGGTGGACGAAGCTTGAGCTAGTCAGTTGGGAACATGTGTACACCTGCCCATTAGATCAGAGCCAAGGGAATGTACGGAGAAAGCTTGAAACTTATTGGGTTCAAAGGTGTGTGTCTGTAAAGAGAAGAGAGTTTGGACGGAGGAGGGAGTGTGAGGGTGGTAGTATTTCAAGCTGGCTTGAGCTTGAAAAGGAGAAAGTGTTTCTTCTCCTAAACGTGTAGCAGTTGTTGAGACCTGTTCTAGATAGATAGATGTTTTGGCCGCTGGATCCCTGCAGCTAAATTGATTTCAAACAAAGTTGCACGTCCGCTGTATAAAATTTCAGATTTCTCCCCGGCTCAGACACCTCCTCTTTCGAAAACTGTGTTTACCAACAGTTTCTATAATGTGGCCCAGAGCCAGTCAGGGTCAGGTCAGGTCTGGGGTGGTCTAGTTTTCCCCCCATAATGACCAGTGTCGTTAATGACCTCCGTTGGCCCGGAGGCACAGAGCCCTAATTGCTACAGCAGACAGCGTAGCCTCTGCCTGACCCAGCGCCGCCATTACCGATGTTGGACCACAAGGGATTACTACCACCGCAGAGCCAATAATTTTACTTTTGGTTGTCCATTTCTCCATGCTGTACCCCCGAACACTTTGTCTTTGTTTAGAGGGTCTTTGTAGTGTATTTGTAGGTGGTAAAACGACATCTGCGTTTTGTGCCATACCTTTAAAAGTACTTGGAGATAGTGTTGTTACTGCCACAGTACATCCAGACAGACCTGGTAGCTATTTGAGTTCATGTCTATAGGGCTAAACCTGACACCTGCCCTCCATTACATGTCTATTTGTAGAGGTGTTTGATTTGTTTTTTGGCTGTTGTTGGAATGTAGATTAGACCTGCTCCGCCTAGTCATTTTCCGCTCGAAGGTGTGCAGTCTACTTGTCAAGTTTTCTCCAATACTTCTCTGACAATGATTTACTTTGATTGGTGTGATCCAGGGTGGGCAGTGGGTAAGAAATATTTTGCTCTGGGAATATAGTAAGTGTTTACAATTTATATAGTTCTTGAGGTACACTTTGTAAACCTCTACCTCTTTCCTTTCCCAGGCCTCCGTAGTGATGTTGGTACACACCTGAGCTTAAGAAATTGTCCTTGCAATAAACTCCAGTATGAAAAGTTGCCAATTTTTAATGAAGTAGAAAATATAATTTTATTAGGAGCATATAATTTAAATATTAATGTGGCTGAACCCTTTGTGGCCATCCCTGTGTGTTTCCTATATCAACACAGTGTTAGGGTTGCACTGTTTGATGATGGGCAGATGAAGTTGTTTTGGTGTCATACCATTGTCTGATAACGCATTGTATGCAAAATAACATTAGATAATCATTTTGTTATTTTCCACAATGAACAGCGTGGCATAATTTTTCCGTCGTATTCCTGATTTATTGTCAGCTATCTTGTGTAAAGTATCTTTAATATGTTTGATTTCTGTTAATTATTAAGACAATGAAAGCTAAAAGATGTAATGCCATAAAATGTGTTCGTATTAAAAGTTGGTAGCTTGTAATATGGAGGTATCTTACACTGTAGCAAGATGTTTGAACACTACATATCTATTATGCCAATAAAATCACTATTTTTTTTCTTCTGATACCTCATGTTGAGCCAAAGTTAGCAAGTGTTAAAAGTTGACAATGTCCAATCATAAGCAAACGTAAAATATCAAAAAATGAGAACACTCAAAAAATTGCCTTTTGATGTAAAGGACCTGTGTGTAGGATTCATAGGCATCTAGGGATGCAAAAGGCCCCATCTAGAGCCAGTGTTTGGTTTGTCTGTTCTGGGCTACTGTAGAAATGTGGTAGTTCAACTCTGTGAAAGAGGACCTGTTCCTTTTTGTAGGTAAAAACTCATGATGCCAAAAGTACCTCCTAAATGTTACACACTGGACTTTTAAAATCAGGAACAGTGTTGAGGTCTGATAACCAGCCATAGTTGTAGAAAGACAGAGAGTAATTGTTAAGTCTCTGGTCTGCTAATACTCAGAAGGGTTTTTAAGCTCAAGTCACATGGTAGATGCATTGGCTCAAGGTACTGAAACATACTTAGGCATTATAGTGGCAATGTTGGACCAGTTTGGGAATTTGGGCAGCAGCATAATGTCCAAATTGAGCCTGTGCTCACACTTGTGTGCCTTTGAACTCGTCCGGGACAGACAGACAGACAGACAGACAGACAGACAGACAGACAGACAGACAGGTAGCTTAGAGGGTGGTGGTTGGTAGAGATAGTAGAAGCAGCCTTAGCCCCAGAGACTTCACTTTAGAATCAGATCAGTAATCTGACCCTGAGATGCAGACAAAGGTAATGACTTTCCTCCTTCCCCTAGCATTGATTAGGACACAGTTGTGGTGTGTGTGTGCGTCTGTGTGTCTGTGTGTCTGTGTGTGCGTGTGTGTGTGTGTGTTTGCACTCACACTGTCTGGTGGCGTCTGTTTGTCTTGATCAGCTCTCAGTCTGGTATCTGTATGGATCTAATTTCAGCCAGTGCATTTTGGTAATGGTGCTCTGCTCCCCGTACACACGCACTGTCTCTGTCTGCGTCGCTTAGCCCCCAGAAACCCACTGTTTGTGTAACCCCGCCGCCCTGCGCCGAGCACGCTTAGAGTATTTTCCACAGACTTCATCATCTTACCATACTAGAAAGTTCACCTCTGTTTTGACAAGGTTGCTCTGCATGAGTAGGTCTGAACAACACATGTATACACTCGCATACACACAAAATGCAGTCATCAAGGTTAATGTGTAAATATGTTTGAAATGAGACTATGCTGTGGTTTTTAGTTGGGTCCAAGTTAAGACAACGCTGGTTATGGCAACAATGTTTTATTAATCCCTTCCTCACTGTGTCTGCTATTTCCTGTCTCAACATGAACGGAATGATAGGAACTTCACACACTACCAGCTCAAAACAGTCGTTCTTTGCGCAGTTTTCTCCCCTTTCTTCCACTGTTCCCTTTTCCTGTTATTTACCCCCTCCCGTAAGTCAAAGTCTAGACTGGATTTTAATGACGGTCGCAGCTGGTCACTTGGGCAGATCTCAATCGCAGCTGGGGGGCCCTGTAAGTCCCGCTCGTTACCCTCGGCCCCCTCCCCTATGTATTGTCCTGCCCAATTTGGGACCAGCCCCCATCCTGTCTGGCCCAGAGCAGCCCCAAAACATTGGTGTTGTTACTGTTACCCCTGGCCTGTCCCCTGCACACCACCCATCCCCCAGCGCTGCTCCACACAGAAGTGCGCTCCCCCACTCCACTCTGCTCTTTGTTCATGCAGGGCCAGTCCAATCCCTCCTCATGTCGTCTTAATCTCCACACAAAGGACCAGTGTAAAGACCACCAATTATGTGGATACGAGAGCAGAGTTCACTCAAAAACCACACACACCAGGCCTCTACTCATATCCATGTGTATTTTAGGCTTGATATTATTCCTTCAAGTTTAGCTTTGTAAAACTTCTGCTCTGAATCCAGTGAGATATGCAGAGCAGTGTGCAAACAAAATGGCATTTGGGCAAATGCTAGTGGGATTGGAGTTTCTTTGCTAGTGCATTGTTCACTTCAGTTATATATTAGTGCCCGGTCTCGCTTGACACTCAATTTGAATTTAACTTTTAATTTTGAGGTCTTGGTTTCACATTGTGCCATCTTTTATGAAATATTGTTGGGTAGGGGGATATGATGATGATGATATAAAGTGTGGCGTCATAGTGATTTGTCAGTAGGTAGAGATTATCCTAAAAAGGCATCCCTTTGATAATTCTGGTATTAGGTGATAATGGACAATTTTGAAAATCAGCGAGCGTGACTGTTTTGTGGCAGTTTTGTGTTTTACAGAATTCTTGTTCCAATATAATAAATTACAGTAATTTATTGGCTATTTAGGTAACTAGATCAGGTCTGGGTCTCTATCAGCTTAGAAAATTACATTTTCTTCTATCAAGATTTTCTGTTTTCATATTGGCCACCCATAATGTTGATGGTTGTTTGTGTGGAAGCAGACTCCATCTGGTATAGTCACAAGGTAGCCTTTAACGAAAGCGAAGACTTGCCACAAACCAAACTCTTGGTAGACCACTAACCAACCATAGCCGGCTCGAGAGGGCAATGTGTGTGTTTTCAGCCATGTTTGGTTTCCTTCCTGAGCTTCTGTCTGTATGTCTGTGGACCATCTGTCTTACCACACACAGAGTCTCCATGATGGATGCGCCTGTTCATGTCAAATCATGGTGTTCCTATCAGACGGCTGCTGTTAATTTATTGCCTTATATTGGCGCGATGTGGATGTGGATGTGGTGAGAACTATTTTATAGCCTTCACTTTGATACTTATGAGAAAAATCAAAAAATAAATCTAGCTTACAACAGTTAGCTGTAATGTGTGTTAAGTGCGGTGTAGAAAAAGGTTTCCCTCAAAAACATACGACTTTTTAAAAAGTCAGTCTTACTTTGAGGATAGATTGATCAAAATGGCTCCTGTCTGGACTCACTAGCCAAAGATTGATTTATTTCAGTGAGATGCAATAAGCATCATGCTTACAAAAGAGCTTAATGGAAAGAAGGATTCAAGTTGTCTGAATTTGATGATGGATATTGAGTGCCGTTCTAACCTACAGCTGTTATGGCTGTCATCTGTTTTATTTAGCTAAGCTATTTGCTCCATTAATGTTGCAGATTAGCGTGATGTGGCACAGGACTTGTTTTTCTCTCTTTATCAGGCCCAGCCCGCTTCACCTCGGTGTAATCTGCAGGAAATTCCATCTGCATGCGAACTGTAGTGAATTTGGACACACTCCGCCAAGAGTTCCTGCCACTTTCCCGCTCAACTCCTGGAGAGGAATACACACCCACATACACACACATTAAACAGATGAGAGATATTACTGAAGTTGTTCAACATTTCCAGTTACCATTAAACAAACATAGACACATCAGCATACACGCTACCTACAAAAAATGCCCCCACGCAGAATGCTACCTCCCAGTCCATAGTTGTGTGGAAACCACTCATATGACACAGTCATTTGTGGTTTTGGCCATTTGGATGTTGCATGCTGATGGTGCAACCAGTGTATCAGTCATTTTTAAGTTTTTCATTTATTTAAACAAACTGTACTGAACAAAGTCTAATTGTTTGACGACTCTGTTGGTTCAAGAATGCGCTAAAAATCTGCTGACACCTTTTGACAAGAGACCCAAGTTGGTACAAACATGGAAGATCAGTGAGCTCATCTGGTCAAAGAAACCCTCAGGATAAGACACAGAGGATTAGTGGAAGCTTGCCACTCTTAAAATCTTTTTTCTTTCCTCTGGGCCAGCCGTTGTCAGTGGTCCAACCGATGCTGAGCCTCTTCTTTCTGAAGGAGAATAAGGCTTGAAATTCTTCTCTGCTTTGTGTCTCCTTTATTGTTGTTGGTACAGTGGTCTTGTCTCCGCTAAGTCCACAGCGATTAGTCTTGAGTGGTCCAGCTTTTGTTTTCCAACCAAGGATCAGCTCTTGGCCTGTCACGCCTCGCTCACAGCCTTGTTGTCAGACAGTTTGTCATTTACCACACTGACAGGGGTTCAGTTGAGCTTAGCCACTTCCCCTGGTTTTTTTTTTTTCCCATGTGAAAACTAGTCCCACATCCATCCAGCCTTGCCTGGTCCTGCTTTGCACTGTTTGGTTGTAGAAAGACCTTGGAAGAAGCCTTTTGTGCTGACCTTACTCTAAATGAGAAGCATGTGTGCTATGACTCAATCACATTTCACTCCAAATCTAATCAGTTTGCAGTATTTTGCTCTCTTGGCTGGCCAACCAACTCTGGTTCTGTTTTAGATGTGGCAGATTTGTGCGGACTTTCTGACTCTGACCTCATTTGAGTGTGTAGATGGACCACCGCAGTTTTATTATGGCAGCGGCAGGAGTTCCATTGTGTCAGCTTTAATAGGTCCCCGTGCAGGAGTGTGCTGTGTTTAATAAAACTCCTGTCTCATTAGCTTAAACAGTGGCAGCTCTCTGTGTCAGTGTGAGAAAGACAGAGGAGAGGGAAGAAGCAAAATGCTGCATTGGGGATTTGGCAGGAGCCCTCTCCCCTTGTTGGGTTTCACTTCGCCTGTCCCACTGGGCAGGTCCGTCTCCACCCTGCGTGTTTGGGTTCATCTGCAGTGAAGGATCTGATTTCAGGGCCGCCGGGGCCGTCTGGCTGCTGCTGTTCAACTCAAAGCTCTGTGTCTGCACGCCACAAAATGCCTACAACTGAATGGGACACTACACACTTTACATCCTGTGTTGAAACTGTTGGGTTAGCTTGCCCCCTACTGGAAAAAATGGAGAAGTGAAATAGATTTTCTTTTGACCTCATGGCTCTGTCTGATGAATGGCTATTAATTAACTCTCTCTGTCCTTTCTACAGCTCTACGTTGTAACTGTACAAACTGTGAGAAGACAGGCTATGAGTGTGAGACAGATGGCGCCTGCATGGCCTCCACATACAACTTCCAGGGGAAGAAGCAACATGTACGCATCTGTATCAACCGGGACAACCTGGTACCCCCAGGACAACCCTTCTACTGTCTGAGTGCCGAAGGCCTGCTCAACACACATTGCTGCTATGAAGATTATTGCAACAGTATTGACCTGAAAATCCCTGGTAAGGCTCCGTCATTAAACATCAGAGCTCTTTCAGTTCAACAGTGGCACTGTTTCAGTCTGTTTTAAAATTCAAAGTAATCACTTCTGCTTCTCCGTCTCATTCATTTTATCCCTTTAGTTCCAACAAAGGAGGGGGAGTGGCCAGGTTCAGGAAGCTCCTGGGGGCCAGTGGAGCTTGTGGCGGTCATCGCGGGGCCGGTGTTCCTCCTCTGTGTGCTGCTGATGGTCGGAGTATTCCTGTTCCAGTATCATCAGAGGGCCTACAGCCACAGGCAGAGGCTGGAGGTAGAGGACCCATCCTGTGACCATCTATACTTGGCCAAGGACAAGACTCTACAAGACCTCATCTATGACATGTCCACATCCGGATCAGGCTCGGGTCAGTTCATGCTGCTGACACAATGTGAAAAAAACATATATATTTAGTTTAGGAAAACACTTTTTTTTTTCATACTAATTTATCAGCACTTGTCTGCTCAGGGTATTTCCACCACTCCACAAAACAAGTATACATGGAATCCTGGGTAATTTATTCTTTGTCTAACTACTGCCCCCTGCAGGTTTGCCCCTGTTTGTGCAGCGGACGGTGGCTAGGACCATTGTGCTGCAGGAGATAATAGGAAAGGGTCGCTTTGGCGAGGTGTGGAGAGGGAAGTGGAGGGGAGGAGATGTAGCAGTGAAGATCTTCTCATCCAGAGAGGAGCGCTCCTGGTTCAGAGAGGCTGAGATCTACCAGACAATCATGCTGCGGCACGAAAACATCCTGGGATTCATTGCAGCAGACAATAAAGGTGAGGAAGTTTGTGGGCCGGGTGGAGACTCTTACCAGTCACATGATCATTACAGACATTTATCCATAACATATGATTGAAGCAACCTTGTTCAGGGGAATTTCTCGACCATTTACTTTAGAAAAAGTCAAAGTAAGAATAAGTCCTTTCAAAGCAAAATGTAAAAGAAGTGCAGATACGGAAGGGTTCCATATTTAACTTATAGATGTTTAGAAATCGTCTTTTGCACAGGTCAGTTTTAGCTAAAGCAAGTTGTCCATTCATTGTAAAATATAATACCATGTAAAAACTCTCTGACATGTATTGTTTTTTCCCTCTTTCAGACAATGGCACATGGACTCAGCTGTGGCTGGTGTCAGACTATCACGAGCATGGCTCTCTTTTTGACTACCTGAACCGCTACTCTGTCACCATCGAGGGTATGATCAAACTGGCGCTGTCAGCTGCCAGCGGTCTGGCACATCTCCACATGGAGATCCTCGGCACTCAGGGTGAGATGACCTGTCATGTTAAAACACAGCACACGGTGAAACAAACAAATGAACACAGCAGCAGCATGAAAGCGCACACAGTAGTTATTTACCTTCAGCACGCGCTATTTTTGCTGAGCTCTTGATGCAAATATAATGATGTGTTATCCGTTCTCCTGCAGGTAAGCCTGGCATTGCTCATCGTGACCTCAAGTCTAAAAATATCCTGGTTAAGAAGAACGGCATGTGTGCCATAGCTGACCTCGGCCTGGCAGTCCGCCACGAGTCCATCACAGACACAATCGATATAGCACCGAACCAGCGCGTGGGCACTAAGAGGTAAATGTTTCCATACTCATTCACTCATAAGCACACAAATGGAGACATACACCAGGGATCTTGAGTGTCTTTGAAGGCTAAGTCTGGCAGCATTCTACATTTATATAACATATAAATATATTTATGTGTGTGTGAATATAACAAGTATCGTCTGTGTAGCCAAAGCTCAGGCTGTGCTTGTTCCTCTGTGCCATAAAACTCCATGGTGTCCAAAAACTATTAAAAACCCATTAATGAGCGGCAACATTGAACTGTATGACACGTTTCTTCATTACAAAGAACAGTGTCAGTGCCCACATTCAACACTGTCCTGCTGCTGTAAATTCATACCATTTTAAAAATTATACTTTTTCATTTTTTAATTTTTTTATTTCTGTCCTCAGTAAGACCCGATGAGTCCTAAAGTATTGAGTGGCACTTTTTTTTTAAGTCAATGGATGTTTATGAAAGTAAAGTTAGGTGTATTTTAATTGTAACCAAATTGATCTATTTGCCTAAGCTCTTTGGACCTTTCACAGGACCTTTTGAGTTATTTCATCCCAAAACAATTATGATTCATTTAACTCTGAATTGTATTAAGTAAAATATCAAAAGTCTATGGTTTTGACCCCCTTTACGATAGGAAATTCTCATTTGATACTATTATCATTGCCCACCCTAGGTATATGGCTCCAGAAGTCCTGGATGAAACCATCAACATGAAACACTTTGATTCCTTCAAGTGTGCCGACATATACGCGCTGGGCCTGGTGTACTGGGAGATTGCACGTCGCTGCAATGCTGGAGGTAGGACCCCCAACCACGAACAGCAGCTGATGATGAGTGTGAGTGAACAGCATCATGAAAACCGAGACTGAGACCGCTTCTCCCTTGTGTACTGCAGGTATCCACGAGGAGTACCAGCTGCCCTACTACGACCTCGTGCCCTCTGACCCCTCCATAGAGGAGATGAGGAAGGTGGTGTGTGACCAGAAACTGAGGCCCAATGTGCCCAACTGGTGGCAGAGCTACGAGGTATTTCTCACTCTATAGACACGCCAACAGCTGCACTGGCGGGTTTCTAAAAATACATTCAGTGTCTCTATAGGAAGGCAGTTGGGAATCGGGAATACAGTTTGGGGAGTGCAGGACATCCTGACCTGAGTACATGCATATGGAATGCTGATTTCTAAATGACTGTTGTGGGGGGAGTATTAAATTCATATTATAGCTTAATTTCATTGTTATAATGTTAAGGTGTTAAGTTACCCAATATCTGTCCTGTAAAAGGTCCAACAGTTTATCTTTTTTTATGGTAGTGCACAGTTCAGATTAAAAAATATATTGGTACAATATTTCACACAGGCCTTATTTTCCTGGTGTTAGGGTGGTTTTTAAATTCTCATGCATCCAACGTTTTCATAGACGATGATTTAAAATGTGTCGGAGCACGATGGTAGCTCACCTGGCTGAGCCCTCGCCTGACCCATGTTTTCCTCTTCCGTGCAGTCACTGCGTGTGATGGGGAAGATCATGAGGGAGTGCTGGTACGCCAATGGAGCGGCCAGACTGACGGCCCTGCGCATCAAGAAGACCCTGTCTCAGCTCAGCGTGGAGGAGGACATCAAGATGTGAGCGGCCAGGCGGCGTATAAAGACGCGCTGGAGACGCACAACCAGACCACACTCCCATAGGAAGCAAACACTAAAGACAGACTGCAAATGAAAACCCTGCCAGTTTTAAAGCCACACTCCAAGTTGTGACGAGGCCTACCTCACCTTTTTAGCCAAAACTACTGAGAGTCACCCTTCCCTTCCTGACTTTTCTCTTCCCCTCCCCTGCCTCCCTCTGTTCCTCGTGTCTCCTCCCCGTTCCCTTCGACCCCCTTCTCCATGGGCCACAACACTACAGCACTACCACTGTTAATATCATCACACTCAATTTGTTTTGTTTTTTTTGTTTTTTCATTTCCCATGGCAGGAATTATTACTATTGTACAGTGATGGGATTTCTTTCTGTTTTGATCTTTTTTACCTCTCTGAAAATCTGTCCCATGATGGACTCACCTTGTGAGTGATGAGTGAAGAACGTTGTGGTTTTATGTTCAAGAATAATAACACTTCATATTGTGTTGGCCATGCAACATCACATTCTGTTGCTGTGTGTGTGTGTGTGTGTGTGTGTGTGTGTGTGTGTGTGTGTGTGTGTGTGTGTGTGTGTGTGTGTGTGTGTGTGTGTGTGTGTGTGTGTGTGTGTGTGTGTGTGTGTGTGTGTGTGTGTGTGTGTGTGTGTGTGTGTGTGTGTGTGTGTGTGTGTGTGTGTGTGTGTGTGTGTGTGTGTGTGTGTGTGTGTGTGTGGTGTCTGGACTACTAGCATGTTTCTAAGACACTAAAATGTCCTCTGGTATAGGCTGTAGTTCACTGGACAAAAACCAGTAATGGGTTATTTGGTAATTAAAGCATGGACAGCCGGATTTAGCTTTTTTTAATCCCTCACTTGAATATCCTACGAACAGAAAGTAGTTGCACTCAACTGTAGCTTCCTCATCATGCGTGAGACCTGCGGGGATCACGTAACGGATGTGGTCCAGTCCCGGTGTTAGTTTGAAACGTGGCAGGGATAATGTTTGGGATGGTTTTTACTTTTTATTTATTTGTTGATAGTTTTTATTTCATATTGATGAACACTGTGAGATGAGACGTGACAAGCCAGTCTTGAGGTGAAAATAAGCGTTCAGTCCGAGTCTTCACCACCTTTTCAGGCGTTTGATTTAAGGGGTTGTCGCATTCATTTAATAAGATACTCGGGTGCATATATGGATGCACCCATAGCCCCCTTTGGTGACAGGCAATGCCATCGTGCACACTGAGCAAATAAGAGGCGTATGAAATGGCAATGAAAAACATTTTTTCTTTTTTAAATATATTTTTGTGTTTTGTGTAAAGACATCATGATGGGTGTTTTCTTTTGACTTTGACATTAGACACTACTGATGATGGGTACATATGATTTGTATATAAAACATGCATTTTTTTCCTTTTATGCCACAAGCACCAGTGTGACATTTTGAACAGTGATTTTTGCTTGAATGGTACTTTCAGAAGTCTGTTGTTTGATCTGTCTGCATGGTATCGAACTGTGCCAGGAAATAGATGGTGTCATCTGCTGGAATTTGTTTCTAACTTGCTCCTCTTATGGCAATTTGGTGGTACTACTGATCCCAGATAATTTTGCTGCAACTTCATTGTTTTTTTTTTTATGTATAATTGTTGGACTTGTTGAGTTCTTTTCAGGGCTCGGTAATGCAGATCTGTTTCTCCACATGTCCTCCAGGGTGGCATCTCTTTCTCATTGACACTGGAATATTTAGGAGCATCATGTAACCTTGAATTCTGATACTGCCAATGGCTATTTATTCAGAAATAAAGACAGCTGCTGACAGTTCACACACAGGGAACATATGGTTAGATGTGAAAAGTAGTTGAGACGTTTTACCTTCAAAGACATGCTGTAAAGTGAAACTGCATGTTTTCATTCTACTTTGTCGTCTGCAGCTCCGAGTCGATCTGCAGACAAAACTATGAAAGTATTACACTGACATTTGTCACCATTGGGCTCTGCACTGTTATGTCCACATGGACTTTAGTTAACGTTAGTTATGTCATCACTTGATCCAGAATCCATGTGTCATGTTAGTATCCATTTTGCATGCTGTCTCAAACACTGGGTCGTCTGCACTGAGGTAGATGAACTAAAGACTCGTCTTTCTCTCTTCCTACCTGTCATTTTTTTCTTTCTTCCCCTTTTTATTCGGGTCGTTGGCTGTGTACCCCAGAAATGTTGCTGCTACTGATAACGTGGGTAGAAGTTCAGCAGGCAGATCGGAGAAGGAGAGCTGGGAGGGGAAATGGGAGGCTGCTGTCAGTTGAACCAAAATTGTCAAAAAACACTCCTGTCCATGTTTGGTTTGTTGCCATGGGTATATGACCATCAGACATCCTGTTCATGAGTAATTCTTCAAGATTTCAAATCATGTTGTGCAAATCTTTTCAGAATTAGTTGAAAAGTGTATATAGATGATATACAATAAATTCCTCTTTTTCTTACCCGTGACTGTGGTTCTCATTAAAAATGTTTTCATTGTCATTTAAGTTGGAAATATGTGAACTTATCCTTTCCTATCCTTTTAAAGTAACAGGTTTTGCTTCTTGTAATCATTCCTCCTGCCTTAAAACACTCCACTTATTTGTTATGCTCGTAACAACAGCTAATGTAGCCTAGAGCAGAGATGAGGAAACAGCTCCACACCTCGATATTTTTTTATTTTCAAATTTGTCTTCAACCCCAACTGATAATAAAAATGTATCACATTTTGTGGAGTCACAAAATGCTTTATTTTTTCACATATGCAGCAGTACTCCCTAAACCTGGAATTGGAGTGTCAGTGGAGTTCCCCTTTAGATCTCTCCCTAATGTGCTACCAAAGAAATCCACAGTCCTTGTTGCCTGCAAAAATATAGTCTGAAATTATATATATATATAATTTATATAGAGTTAATGAGGCTCAGCAGTCTGAATGAAGTAAAAGTGGATTTCTTACAAAGTTAGTCAGTTCAAATGTAGTGTCTGAATTATGTGGACCTTGAGTTCATATTTTATATTTACTAAGTCAACCTTCAAGCTCAATGTTGCTTGAAGTTTTTAAAGAGTTCTAAAAAAAGAAAAATTAGCACATATTTAAAATGCATTTTATTTTCCTTTACAAGAAACAAAAGCAGACAAAGAAATAAGATGAAGGGGAAAGGGAGTGGGAAAGCTGTATATAAAGAGATGCAACCTCTGGCGTCCTGAAAAAAATATGTACAATTCAAAATAATATCCATACAAAACATGCCACATACAATAAAAATGATCATTATATTTATTCATATTCCCTAAAAGTATCTCTGCTGTACAGATGCAACTTCTTTTTAAAAAGTAGGTGAGGTTAAAAAAAACCTTCAATTTGAGCAAACTTTATTAAATTATAAGATATGCAGAGAACTTAAATTAAGATTCAGAGAAGTTAAAAATTATTCAGGCTAAAATCCAGTGAGCGGCATAATGTCTCGTCATGGTCTTCCCTTGAAATAGAAACATACCAAAAAATATATATATCACTGCTCCGGATACTTGATCAATATCTACCACTTTAGAGAAGTTCTCCGTTATACTATGAGAGTGCAATTCATTACCAGGTTAAGTATGGGATTAACTTTGAGTATTACATCATAACATACATTAGGCCAAGTAACCATTTCACAAGGTTTACCAACACATTCACTTCTATAGGGAAGATATAAAAAAGCAAAAACACTAACAATATTCTAGGGAATTCAAGATTTTCCATTCAAGAGTATATTAATCCAATTGTGACCGATTAAGGGACAGGTTTTGGTAATCAACAAGCAGTAGCATAAATAAAAAGAAAAATAAACACAAACAATATTACATAAATACAAATGCTATGCACCATTGTACTGCTTTACGCAAGAAGTGATTTTCATGTCTAATTAACGACCCTCCACATGAATCCAAACAGTTTCATAATCACATTGGCTTCTCGTCGCGATTGATTGAAGACCAGACATTTTCTCATACCTATTTTTAACAAACTTGTCTCTGAGAGCTTATAGCAAAAACACTAATAGAAAAACAGGTCAATGCAAAACACTCTGGTTCATATACATAAAGATATTAGTTTGCCATTTTACATATATTTATATTTATATACAGCTTTATCTTTGTTAAAATGATATCCAGTGGTTGGTTTTTTTTTTTCAATTTTATTTCTCTACACTTTTCACTTTATTGATTACAAAGGGGCTGGATAAAGAGTTGCTGTCCCCTAATGCATATACTATATATACAGTTTGTACAACTTTGCATTTTTAAATCATGTGAGGTCTTAGGTTAGGGAAAGGAGGAAACAAAGTAGTATGGGAAGGTGGAGTTTTAGTAAAGCTCCCTTTAAAGACTTTTTCATTCATCTTACATAGAAATGAAAACAAATGCCCTTTTTTCCAATAAGTCTTTCCCTGCCATCAGTTCAGCCTCGAGAGGACAGTACCAGCACTAGAAAAGCACACTACAGGGGAAGTAGAAACACTGCAGGCTGTACTCAGGCAGAGGAAGACTTACTACAGTAAAGTTTAACAATAGTCCACTAAATAATACAGAGAGGAAGAGGCATGATTCAAAGTTTAAGGTTAAGTTGTGAAAAGATCGGGTTGTTCGGGGGAATAAAAAGCATTTCATGGGACAGTAGTCATGCATCCACCGGCTGGTTTTCAACAAGTGGAACTTCAATGTATGAAGCAACAAGCAAATGTGTACTTGGTTAATTTAGGACTCCGTAGTCTTCTTTACAGACTAAGTGTCCTTGTGATCCTAGAGCCATTCACTCACACCATCATGGTCTTTAAGCAACTTAAAAAGGTGGATGTTATTGTGCTTTCACACAGCTAATAACATGGTTTTGAGACACATAAATAAAGAGAACAAAAAAGAGAAAAAGCTACATCAATATCCAGGATGATTTGGTGGCATACAGGACACCCGCTAAGCTTCTGATTGTGATTTTAATGCAATATCTTATCAAAACTGTCATATATTTCCTCTGTATAAACAATTCATGAATAATAATTATGTTGGCTCATTATTGTAAATCATCATCAGCATAGAGTAGATAGAGCAAACCTGCTGCTTAAGATTCCCTGCTTGTCCGAGAAGGCTAAGCCCATAAAAACATTCCCCCTTTCCCCCCCGTTCCACAGTAGCAGTTAACAGTTTTTATACAAAGCAGTCACTTCCCGCTAAATCAATGAGGTAGACTGGGTCCAACTAACCCACCTTGGGACTCCACACAGTCACAACATCTGGTGCCTCTGGAGCCACAGATCAATAGCATCTCAAATTTTATATTAACTTACATATTTTCTTTTTTTCCATCGATCATATGTAGTTCTTACACAGAGCCACATCAAGATTGTCTAGCTAGCCAAATATCCGTGTTGTCTTCATTGATGACTTGATGGGAAAGTGCCTTTTCTGGGAGGTGAGGGGGGAGGTGTGGTCAGGTAGGACAGGAAATAGGTCCGTCTTAGAACATAAAAATGCATCATCGTAAGTTCATTCTTAGTATTTTAAAATGGCTTTTTGTCGAAGCTCCAGGTGAGCTCTGCACTACGAGTATTGATATCAGAGGGTCAGAATCATTTGGTAGATGTTGAGGATTGTTTTCCAGCCACTGTAAGCTTATTGAGAACAGTCGAGGGGGAAAGGGTTTTGGCTGAGGAAAGGGTGATTCACTAGTCCAAACATGAAAGTTAGTCCCACCATCAAGCTGCTGTTGACGGAGGTGGTCGGTTGCTTTTATTGATTAATGCTCTTCAAACCTTTGGCTACAGGTGTCAACGCTTTAGTCTTTCAATGACGGAGGCCTGCCTTCCTCCACGTCTTTCAGAACAGCTTATGCACTGGCTATGTAGGATTCAAAGGCTTTGGCGCAGGAGTGTTCTGGCACCAGTGAGAGGGGAATTCTCCATTTTTCTTTCTTCCGGTTAGTTCATCCACTTTCGGCAATTCCAGGCTCCACAATGGCAAGGGATCTTGTGCTGATCGTCCTCGAAATCGAACTGGTAGTCGTAGGTCAGCTGGAATTAAGAAACAGGGACAGTTAATGGCTGCTTAGAGTTAAAAATTTACTTTTAAAACATAGACAAGGTAGTAAAATGAAGGAGACATGTCTATGCGTGAGTAACTGTTTTCTAATGCACTGCACCTCTTCTCCCTTGGGGATCCTACGGCTGGAAATGATGATAATCTTGTCTTCTTTGTCAAACGTTACAACCTCTGCCACACAGTTGGGAGCACAGGAATGGTTGACGTAGCTGGAAAGGAGAGGGGAAGAAAAAAAAAAAGGTTAAAAAAAAACAACAACATACTAGACTCAAAGGTTCACAAGGCGACAACAAATAACAACTCAACACTTACCGAGCGGGGCCGCCTGTCAGAGTGGCATCAATCACCTGCTCATTGTTGATGCGGAACATGTAAATCCCACGGTTCTAAGGTAGAAGAAGAAAACAATATAATTAACATACATTTTTGGCGTGCATTCCTTAAACTTTAACACAACAGAATGCTTTTTGTGTTGCATTCAATTGCCAGCGTTTAGTCGGCGTACCTGCAACTCGTAGATCTTCTCACGGCGATTGGCCACCTCGTTGCGTATGACCGTACCGATGTACTCAATGACCATGGTGTGCTTCTCCAGATCCTTAGCGGCGTACAGACCCAGGCCCTGAATGCGGGATCGTGCCAGATACACATTATTCTTCCACTCAGTCTTCAGGCGCCGATACTGGGATGACTTCGAGTGGACAAACTGCTTGCTGTATGGTGTGTTGAGCTCTCCAGTGAAGGTACTCTGGTAGGCCTTTGACACGCTGGTGCTATTTAGAGTGTGAGGCCTTGAGACAAACAGAAAAGAAAGGGTTAATGTGTATCCAGTCACTTGTAACATCCATATAGAAATGTTTAAAAGAAGCTGTGCTTTGGGTCAGCCTATTTGTTGAGTTACATACACACTTTAGAATTACTGAAATAATAAGACGAGACATAAAAACTGTATTCTTATTACGCTTTATTATTATTATGCTTCTGCTAATAGTGTGGTAACGCGCATACCACAGCACACTGGGTGTTACTGTAAAGTCCAGCTTCTAGTGGCTTATTGCTAAATGAATGCTGCTTTACCTCTTGCATTGTGTGGGGACCTTTGGCTCAGAGCGAGCACAGCCAGTGGGATTGATCATAAGAGGGAGCTCCATCAGAGGGTGACGGCCATATCGGAACTGGTAGTTCTGGCAGTTCTCCACTCCAGGCAACTAAAACACAACAAAGTCACACAAATCAAGTTAATCATGCACTTTGATCAACACTTGAACCACTAAATCACAGCAGACTTGTGTGGTTCTCTAGCCCACAGGTCTTATCTACTGGGTTCAATTTTGATTCTGGTCAAGCTGTCTGTATACAGTCATGTCTGCTTGTGATGTTTGCTTTATTCTGTAACAGTCAATTAGGAGACTTCATCTTTTTGTTTTTTTCATCTTTTGCAAGTACTTTAAATCTCTCAGAGGTTCGGGCTCTTTTTTCACTTATTCTTAAGTTTACTATTAAGCAGATGCTAACCCATAGCATGTGTGAATATTGGCTTGTAAATAGCTTCAATTCTAACTGGGAGACAAAGTGATTCTGTTTCCTGCTGTATATTCTTACCGACTCAGTGATACGCATGACAGCATGAATTGTGAGGCCATACATCTCCTCTCCCTTGACATGTTCAGTGAAAAGCTTCAACATGGATGACTCATCTCGGAGTTTAGCCACCTGCTGAACCACCCGGTCCCAGATCCCTAAAGACAAAGATCGTGAATTAAATACAATGGTCACGAGAGTTATTTAAAGTGGAAAAGTCAGAGATATTATGCAACGTAAAGTAGCAGTAGCGTATAAGTTCTTACCCTGTGGAGTAGTGTCACGATACTGCAAATCCTCCATCCCATGCTCCAGAACACGCACCTCAAACAGGGGGCGACCATCATCCTCACTGATGCGGCAGCGGTAGCGACAGCGCTTGTTGGGCAGACGCGTGCTCCAGTAGATGCGTGTGGCCTCATAGCCAACAGGGAAAATGGCAGTGGGTGAGTGGAAGTTTGCCATTTGGGAGGGTAGCAACTGGCCAACAGCATGAAAGATGAGACCACCAACACGGAACAGATGGATACGGTCACCTCGCTGTAAGATGCTGGCAATCTGCTTGACCTCATCACGCTCAATGTAGACTCGCCGTAAAACAGCAAACGCGCTGAGTTCATCTTCACTGGGGCCCTTCAGCTTATGCTGGGTGCACAACATGGTCTTGTCCTTGAAGAACATGCAGCGTGCCCGGATGGCACAGGCGAAGTGGTAGACATTCGGGCAGCGCATTCTGTTGCAGCTGTTGGTGGCACCCGTTTTCTGGCAGTACGCGCAAAGAGTCCGCAATCCGCGACGCAGGGCTACCTCCACATTGATCAGGGCGCCCCCCTGAGTCTCATAAACTTCTGTGGACCACAGGGCACAGTTAAGATGCACCCACAGGTCCACATCAATGTTAAGCAACCTGGCAGGCCCATCTGTGGCTCCATCACCTTCCTCATGGCAGAAGCAGCATTTACGTTTATCCCTAGGCAGCCTGTCTGGTCGAAGAGTAATGCGCAGGCGTTCCATTAGCTCAGACACCTCACGGCTGCTCTCCTTCTTAGAACCACCCTTGCGTATTGAGATTACAATCTGAAGACGCTTCCAGCGAATCCCCTTCCATTTTTTCACTTTGGGATGCACCACCTCCTCATCAGGGGAGAGAGGCCTGCGCTGCTTGACAGCCTTAGGAGAAGACTCCATGTTGTTGGGAGAATCTTGTGGTGGTTGAGCTGGATCATTGGTCAAGTCCTCCTCCTTGGTAACAGGATTCAGATGGTCTTCAGTAGGAGCAGTAGGATCTGGAACTGCAGTGGCAGTTGCAGTTGCTGGATCTGTGACGGGATCTGTGATGGGATCTGTGACGTGATCTGTGACGGGATCTGTGATTGAATCTTTGACGGGATCTGTGATTGAATCTTTGACGGGATCTGTGACTGAATCTTTGGCGGGATCTGTGGCGGGATCTGTGGCGGGATCTGTGGCGGGATCTGTGACGGGATCTGTGACGGGATCTGTGGCGGGATCTGTGACGGGATCTGGAGCAGCAACTTCAGACTCCTGGACATCAGTTGGTTGAGCAGCATCAATAGGAGGACCAACATCCTGTTCAGGCTCAGTCTTGATCTGGACATTGATGGGACTGGAGGGAGACGGGGATGGAGGAGCTGATTTTTTCAAAGGTTCAGCTTCACTAGTTGCAACTGGGGCAGATGGGGGAGGTTGTGGAGGGGACGGAGATGGGGGTGGAGATTCCTCCACCGGTATACTAGGAAGATGGCGCACATCCAAGTCATTTACATTGGTTGTGTAACAGTGCTGGACCGGTTTGTCCTCTTTTTCTGGGAATTCCTGAAAGAAAAAAAAGCATATTTTAAGAAACATATAGTACATGACATGTGATCAAAAAAAGATCAATAATTCATACAGTGCTCAAGAGATCTGTGATGTCTGACCTGTTTAATAAGTGCCAGAATGTCCACTTGTTTCTTCAATGTACAGCCTGGTAGAGACACATCAAACTGTCTTAGCCACTCATCCTGGCTGGGTGAAGCACCGTCCTTTGTACACAGTGCCCCTGTAAAAGCATAAGTACCTTCACATTAGTCTGAATTCATGGATTAATAAACTTGAAGGACTTGCAAACAACAGGACAATCCAAATTAACAATAGCCTCTAAATGCATACCTGACTGGCCGGGTCCTTTCCCAGGCCCATCAACTCCAGACATGTCAGGGTTTTGGGGAGGGAAAGTCACCTCATAAGAACCTGGCATCCTAATATTAAGCAGCTGGGCCATAGCCATCATGACATGGTTCAGTTTCTGGGAAAAAAAAGTCAGTTCAAGTTTTTGTTAACTATGCATGAAGATAAGGAAAGGTTAACCTGGGTGCATTGATATCATGGCTGCGTACCTTGGCAGAAGACAATGTGAAGGTAACGGACACTTCGTTGCTTTTGGCCTTTTCCCAATGGTTGGATGTGGAAACTACCTTGCTATCGGCTGCTTCAAATGGTTTGTTTTCAGGGAATGCTACAAAAGAAAATGTGAAAATGACTATATTAGCAGTTTGCATTTTCGCTGGCACTTTTAGCAATATAAATGGATTTAATGGTCAAATTAAATGAGACTTGAACAATAAAACATCAAAACATAATGGACTTTTTGGGATTTCACCAAAACGTATAAAAAAAGGTATGAGCAATGTTACTGTTTGGGGTAGTTACATTTTGAATGTTGTATAATATCTGGGATGGCAGTGCGAGGTATGAGAGGGATGATGGGGGATATTGCTCTCTCAGTCTCCTCCTCTTTAGGCTCCCGTAGATGAGGGAAACGTGGTGTTTCATCTCCTACGTTACTCTCGGGGGATGATGCCGGGATGATGCTTTCTGGAGCATCCTCATCATCACTCTCCATCCTGTTAAAAAGATGTTCCCTTAAATTATAGCCACACATTATAGCAACAAGAAATCCATGTATTTTGGTTGACAAAGAAATTTCCTTTTGTACCTGATGTCCTCATTCTGGTTATGTGGCGGGGTGGGGAGAGCTGCAAGAATGTCTACACTCTTCACCTCCTCTGTAACAGAATCTGCAGGGATAAATTAAAGAGTACTTAGATCCCAATGACTTCACCACTGCAATTAACTATGATGAAAAACAATAATTTCATGTCTAATCCCTCATTATTTACCCATTGGCTCTTCTGCTGGCTCTGTGTCTTTTTGACCCTCAGACAGCTCCTCCCCAGGAGTCACTCCATTCAGCAGCTTGTGCTGTACTGAAGGCGGAGGAGTAGGTGGCAGGGAGGATGGGGGTGTTGGTGGGTTGCTGAGGTTACTCTGTAAAAAGGAATACAACAATATCCTCATAAAACAACTGTTTTTCAAGAATTTGTTTGTTTCAAGAAGTAGCATGGATCAACAACCAAATGTTGGCACAGCATGCAAAAACGAACCACTGGTACATGTTGCAGCTTCATCATACCTTAGTGAGTAGCTGAGAATAATAGTCTGGGATATTGTCCAGCACCGCATTTCCAAAGGATCCTTTGAGCTGGGCTTTGCCATTGGCTGGACTGCTTCCAAAAGGGGCAAACAGATCCAGACTGGCAGTGATTGAAGGCTCCATGAGGGGCAGCAGAGAGAGACCCTGGAGGATAAATGTCCATTAGTAAAAATGAAGAAGCACTCTTCTAAACATCAATGGCAGAAATCATTCAGGAAGTTCATTTTTGCCATCCGTTTACCTGTTTCAGTTGCTTTATCAGGGCTTCTGCACTTTTTCCAACTTCTTCCTTCTTGTTCTTCCTCCGTGCATTAGGCCCTCGGTCCCCAGTTGCCTTATTAGTGCGTTTTGGCTTTTGTACAGGAGCCCTTTTTGTTATAGACTGTAAATCCTGTAAGAGTTAAGAAAATGAATGAGATGTTCTTTCCACACAAACAACATGAGGACAAAAAACAAACAAAAACAAAGTACTAAGAAAGTAACGACAAACATACCTCCATATTTCGTGGAGTCCCTTGAAGTTTTTGCTCCAACATAGCTAGTTTGGTGTTGATGTGGCCATTGATTTCATTGTGGATGCCTTCAGAAGGTCTCTGAGCACCAAGCTGAAGGTTCTTGGTCCTCAGGAGTTTCTGCAATAGTTGCTGTCCAGTCTCAGATCTAGGGCCTTGAGTCCCAGGGTCTCCAGCCACGCTTCCAGCATTAATAAAGCTAGTGTTGTTCCCGGAAGTAACCATCTCTCCCGTTGCTTCTCGCTTCACAGCCCCAGGATGAGGCTCTGTTGCACCATCACACTGAACCTCTCTTGGTTCCTGTTTAATGTTCTGTAGGGTTATCTTACATAGCTCCCCTACTCTAGAGCTATGTTGTGTGTGAGGAGCATGGCTCTCTGTGACCTGCTGCGGCTGTTGCTGAACATTCATGCCTTTCTGAGGACCATTGGGGGTAACTGAGGCTGTCTGACATGTTTCATTGCCTGATGTCTGAGTTTCTATTTTCAGTCCTGGACAATCAAGTGGACTCTTGGCTCCAGGTGACCTGAGTGGAGATGCCCTGACTTGGCTGTATGGACTCCCCCTTCCAGCCCTGTCAGCTATAGAAGGTGAGGAGACATGGGATGAATGGGGTGAGGCCGGGTGGGCTGGGCTCATACCAAAGGGACCTCTTGGAGAATATGCATGGGATGGAGAGCCCTGCATGCGGCCTGCTGCAGTCACCATTAGTGCTTGTTGGTTCTGGTTGGGAGTGGGTGGACGCATCCCCATTGCTTGATTAAATGTGTGCCGTTGTGCATCACCAGGAGAGATGGGCAATGGCTGACGTGGAGATGTTGGTCTTACCATACGGCCATGGTCCACTGGTACCTGACCTCTCATAATATGTTGCATCATCTCCCCTGGTGGTGGCTGTTGCTGCCCAGGGACCATCATCCCCTGCTGTATCTGAGGAGCAACACCAGGTTGGTGGCCCAACATGCCTGACTGTTGCTGAGTGCCCACTACTCCTGGCTTCCCCATGGCTCCATATGGCATCTGTTGCCCTTCCATTCCTGGCATCTGCTGTCCAACCTGTGGCACCTGTCCTGGGGTCATGTGAGATCTTAACTGACCTTGCTGGCCTTGACTCATTGACATCCGCAGCATCTGTCCCTGTTGGAGCTGCCTCTGGGCAATCATGGCCTGGATGTGCTGTATCTGCTGGTTTGGGGGGAGATTGCGCAGCTGAGGATTCTGAGCAATAATAGCCTGGATGTTGATAGGGGTGCGGATCTGTCCCTGTGGAAGTGCAGGCCTTTGTGCCATCATCCCTTGCTGCTGGGCCCTCATCAGGCCCATCATGGCCTGTTGTTTTTGCTGCTGGGCCATGAGAGCTTGCTGTTGTGGACTATGTCCCATCACAACAGGCTGGCCGGCATGGTTCTGGCCTATGATTTGCTGCTGGATGCTGGGATCTTGTGACTGCTGCATGGCATTTTGAACTGTTTGCTGTTGTTGCTGTTGAGCCAAGAAATCAATTGGTTTTCCTTCCTCTTTAATAGTCATCAGACCTGGCTTGTCAGCACCGAGGGAAACTTGCCTCTGGAGAGTGAGTGGAATTTGTTGCTGCTGTTGCTGAAGCACACCAGACTGTTGGCTTCCAATCATACCTGTCTGTTGCTCAGATACAGACTGAGGATTTGACTGTTGCTGCTGCTGCTGCTGCATATAAACCTGGTTTTGATGCTGCTGCTGCTGCTGCTGTAATTGCTGCCTCCCCAAGTCAGTTTGATGATCATTTCCAGAGCCTAGTTGGGTCATCTGATTAGGAGTGGAGGGTCCACTCTGCTGTGGTGGCGTTCTCGAAACAGGGCTGAGGATCCCACCCTCTTTGGGGCCTGAGTTTTGGCTGTCTGTAGCTCCCTGTGGCTGGGGCGTGATACTTCCTGCTGAAGGGGAGGAGCCCATCTGTGGGGTAGAGGGTTGAGAGAGCCCTCCTTGCTCTTGGCTGGGTTGACTGATCATCTGTGTAGGCTGTCTTTGCTGTACCATCTGCTGCTGCTGCTGAAGGTGAGCCAAATTCTTTGCAACATTCTGCTGCTGCTGCTGCTGCTGAGATGCAAGCATGCGTTGGGCCAGAATGTTCTGTTGTTGGGGAGTCAATTGGACCTGGGGACCCCTGAGGCCAGGGTGACCTGGAGATCCAACCATACCCTGCTGACCCATCATCAGCTGAGGCCTCTGTTGCTGTGGTGGTGGAACTGGCTGGTTGCCCATGATTCCAGTTTGAGCTGCCATCATGGCTTGAGCATGGTTAATAGGCTGGCCTCCTGCAAGGTTCTGGGGTAGCGGAGCCACAGACTGGCCTCCAACCATTCCTTGTGGAACCTGCACCATGGTCTGCTGATTGGCCTGGTTGGCAAGCATTCCCTGTTGAGTGTTTGCTTGTTGTTGGGCCATTAGTGGGTTCCCCATCATACTGGCCTGATTTGGGTGTGGCATTGGTTGCTGGCCCATCATCACTTGTTGCTGCTGTTGCTGTTGCTGGAGCTTTGCCATCTGCATCCTATGCTGAAGCTGTCTTTCTTGGAGAAGCCTTGGGTCTGCACCTTGCATTCCAGGCCCTTGTGGGAAGAATCCTGTTGGAGCCCCAGGTGGACCTGGGGGCCTTACTACACTGGTTCCAAGTGTTGCAGGGAGCTGGGGTTGGGCTCCACCAATGAAGGGCTGGCCTTGGGGCATCCTGACAGGCATTCCAGCTTGGGGCATCATGCCAGGGTGCTGGCCCATTACTGGTGTTCCCTGCTGGCCCATCACCATCTGGCCAGGCATCTTGGGAAACATGTGAGGGGGCCCCCCCTGGGCAGAATGACCTGGGGTAAGAAGACCTGAGCCTTGCTGATGCTGCTGCTGCTTGCTTCTGTACTCTGCAATAAGATTGGTGTGCTCCTTTTGCTGCTTGCGTACCTAGAGGAGAATAATTATAAACACATTTATTTGCATATGAAAATGCCAAGTGCCATAACTGTGGAAAAGTTTGTAAACCTGATATCTACACACCTGGTCAAGCTGTTTCTGAATTTTGCTCTGCTCTTCTGTTACCAACTTTAGTTTCTCTGCATCGGCTTCAGCAAATTCCCTGCCAGCTTTCTTAGCAGTGCGCTGCTTAGCACACAGTGCCTTGCGTGATTTGCGGTGAACTCCAATCTGTTCCTCTAAGAATTTCAACTGCATTTGGAGTAACTGCTGGGTGTGAAGAAGCCATTCTTCATATTGGTGCTGTTCTGCATCGTCTGTAACAGAAGAAGATAACTTAATACATCCTTAAGAAAAGAATGGAGACAGCAGAATAACATCTTTTCAAATGACTTAATGCATTTGTAACAAAACACAGTATTGGTTGAACATACTGATGATTCCTTGCACAAACTGGGGAGGGTTGGGTCTTGACTGGGTGGGATCACTGATTTCTCCCTCCTAAACACAAAAAGAAAGCATTTATATGAATCAGTTACAGCAGAGAAGACTTAAAATTAAATACAAAAACATTCCGACAAGCAATACAGCATACCTTTGGTGGTCCAGATGTAAGTTGACCTGGGTCTGTGCCTGGAGCAGAGGCCAGCCTCTGAGCAAGCAGAGAAACTTGTTGCCTGAAGAGAAAGTACAACATAAAACATATAACTATACCTGTAGTGTATTAAGCAATGGTCTGTAGGGGTTGTGTAGTTTCCAAACCCCTGTGCAAAAAAGTTGTAAATTACCGTGGTGTTACCACCACCTGATGGGTTTCTGGTGATGATATCTGATATTAGACAGTTAAACTGTGGCACTGCTGCATACTAGGTCACTCCCTTAGGAGAGGGAGTAGAACAGTCTTGAGAATACAACAGTGTATGCTCTTCAATATCTGCCTCAGTAGACTGTTGTGCCAGTATTAGTGCAGATCCTATAGAAGAGGTTTTTAGTAGCTATAGGAACAAATCTAACACCTAATCTTCAACTTGACCTGGCTATAATGAATCACCATTGTCAGTAGCTTTTAGCATCCTACTGGTGACTGAGTGCACTGTTGTCAGCTTAGCCATGATACACAGTAGATTCTTTGTTCACAGCCAAGACCACAGAGTCAGTCATAATATAGCTGTCACAAATAAGTGACTGCTGGGTTATTAAAACAGTGCTTGTATGGGCCTTGTTTTGTATTGATCTGAACATAACAGCTTGAACCAGCAACAGACTGAACTGACTATTTTTTTTATTTTTTTTGGTCCACCAGCCAAATGGTTAGTTATTGGTCATATTTTGCCATCCACTCAATCGATTACCATTGGGATTTTTTTGGCTAGTGAGAAAGAAAATCTACCAGCCACTTGCAGATTTTACCAGCATTTGGCTGGTAATGGTGTTAATTTTGTGACCTGCATACTACTCAAGTGATTATTCTCGTTACTCCCAATATTAGCTTCCAAACTGGTCTTTCTCACATCCTAACAGTTGGAAAAAACAGCCAAACCTCCTAAAACTAGATAATAAGGTAATGAGTGACTGACAGTTACCATCAAGCCCAGAAAAATCAAATGCTTGCAGGTAGGATATAGTGACTGAGTTTTCCCTTGAGAAGCCACTGTTCTCTTATTTTCAACAAATGGTTAAAGTCATTTTCTGTGTTTGGGCCTTTCATTTTTGATATTAATGTCTACAGACACATGTCAAAAGCTGTTAATTAAGACACATTAAAATTAATTAAGATGATTAAGATGATGATGATGTGTCTACAGATGTAGAAGGTTTTTGTCATTTCCATTTAGGTTTTTATATAGCTATTAAAACGAACCTAAAAACAGTTGAATGAAAACATACTGACCAAAATAAAAAAAAAATAGTAAAAGGTTTACACAATAAAAAGTACCTGTTAATGCCAGGGGGAACAACCATTGGATCCTGGGCCAACACTTTCTTTATACCCTTGAGTGCCACCATCTTTGCCTTGGCAATGGGATCCATGATGTCATCAGTTGCAAATTTGTCTAAATCTGCAATAAAAGGAATAAGGCATAACATGCTTATATAGTTTGAAAAGAACATTACATGGAGTAATGACATTGACATTCCAAAGTGCTTACCTTTATCTGGGAAGAAATTGTTGGCCAGAGGTGACTGTTTGACCACTGGTTGCGGCTGTTGTGGATGACTGAGACCTGGCTGGCCCATCCTCATCATGGCCTGCTGCTGGGCCATGGTCATGTGAGGTGGAGGTGCCATTCCAGTTCCCATAAGCCTTTGCTGCTGCTGCTGCTGCTGCTGCTGCTGTTGTAACATGTGTGGAGGACGGGGTACCATCCCAGGCTGAGCCATCATTCCTTGGGGTGGCGGACGATGGTGGTGTGGCAGCATTATCTGCCCAGGCGCCTGTGGGGTTGGCTGTTGACTTGAGAGGCCAGGAAAATGAGGTGTCATGCCTCCCGGGTGGAGGGAACTGAGCTGTTGTTGCTGTTGCTGCTTTTGTTGTTCCTTCTTCTCATGCTCCAGCAGATCCTGTATTAAAAGAGGGAGTTCCCCATCTAAAGAGCTCTCTACCTTTGCCAAATCTACAGCAGGGGAGTGCTGCCCCCCTACATCAGGCAGCCCCAGTGGATCATCACCAATATCTGCGTGTGCAGAAGTTGGGGGAAAAGGCAATGGATCAGCTTGGCCTGGCAGTGGGTAAGGAAGTCCTCCTAATCGAACAGAACTTAGTGAAGCCGACGGGTTTTCTGGTTGTGCCGCCTTGGCTGATGGTGTGGTCCCACCAAGAAGCATTGACACAGCCTCTCCTATTTCATCTTTCACCACAGTCTGTCCTGGCTGCAGCTGAGGGGTCAGACCCCTGTCCTCCACTTTGACCTTGGAGATATCGACAGCTTCTGCAGAGGGTGGCAGTTGGTTAGCAGACCCCCCTGCAATTCCAGGGGCTGTTGTGAGACACTTCTGCCCTGGCTCCAACTTGGTTTCCACTTTAACAAGCACTGATCCAGAGGAAGATGAAGGTGCTTCACTTTCTGCCTCCACCAACCGCAGCTGGTCTGAGAAGACATCTTTAGGGTCTCCTTGGTCAAGTTCCGGGTCAGTGTAAGCCAGCAGGTCAAACTCATCACTGTTAAGCAAGTCATCTAAATGTGGATCATTGGTTTCAAGGTTGTCCAGATTGCCCAAGTCATCATCTCCTTTGTCAGGATCCAAGTCTAAAGCCAAATCATCCTCATCCTCCACACCCCCATCCCCTGGGGCATCCCCAAGCCCCTCAAGGTCAGGCTCTGGTAGTTCTTCGTTGTTTTCTACAGTGGCAGGCTGTGGCCCTGTGACTACGTTTCGTTGTTGAAGTTGAAGTTGATGCTGCTCAGTGCTAGGAATGTTTGGAGTGGAAGTAGCTGCCTGGGGCTGCAGGTGGGGCTGTTGTGTTACTGGGCCAGTAGACTGCTGAGGCAGTAAAACTGACAGTCCGCCCTGCTGTAACCCCAGCTGTGAGTCACTCCCATCTGTTTGAATGCCACCAGCTTGAGCAATGGGATGTTGCTGAACATAAGATGCTGCCATCTCTTGCTGTGGGACAAAGAGACGTGTCCTGGGTTGGGGACCACGGGGCATAAACTGGGGTCGCATGGGTAGCCTCTGTGAGTTGTGTCTCAATTCAATAAACTGAGGTGGGGGTCCTTGACCCATTGGCTGCATGGTTTCTCCTCCATGTCCTGGTATCATGGTGTGAGGATTACCCATTCCTTCCATACCCTGAATGTTGACAGCAGGGTTGAGATTGTGCCTTATGCCCATAGCCTCCATGCCAGGCTGGGGGAACCTCCTTGGACCTGGAGCCTGGCCCTGCCACTGAGGAGGGAATGGTGGACGGGCAAACATACCCTGAGGTCTGGTGGGCCCTGGTTGCCTGAAGGATAGAGACACACACAAAATATATATATATTTCAATTGAAACAATGTTTGTTGTACTACCAAAGTTTTAAGATATAAGGGGTGGGGCTAATTTAGGGTGCCAATTATTTCTGTGACCAATTTGAGCTCCTGAGCTCATTCCCAAATCAGCTCCAATAATATTACATTTGTAAAATGTTTTATTTGGATATGTATGCAGCTAGAGACATCTTTGTTAACGACCAAAATGTCCAAATTTTGAATGAAATTTCTTGTGTTAGCACTATTGAAACTGCAGTAAATTTATAATTGTGGAACGGGAACCAAGTCTCATTATTTCACACCAAATGTGAATCTACTTCAATGAGCTACTTACCTTAGTGCACTAGGATCCATGATGGCAGGGGTTCCTGTAGGTGGTGGGCGAATGAGCTTGTCCTCCATGCCTCCAACAGCCATGGGCATCTTGCCTGCCACAGAAGCCTGGGCTCCAGCAGTAGTTACAGCAACACGATCCTAAAGAGAGCAATAATAGAAAAAAGAGGTAAATGTAATATTCCCTTAATTTCTAATAAATTGTAAATGGTTGAATTTATAAAAAGCGTCCATCCAAAACTCTACAATTCTTCAATCAATCATTCACACACAAACACGGCAGCTACCATGCAAGGCTTTTCTGACCATTAGGAGCAATTTCGGATTCAATGTCTTGCCCAAGGACACTTCAGCGTGTGGACAGGAGGAGCTGGGAACCACCAAACCTGCTGTGCCACAGCCGCTCTTGCTCACTTTGTCATTTAGATTGCACCAGTCAACAGAGAGACCAAAGTACAGCCTCGTCTATAAAATCATGCATCTGTAACAGTATTTCATTTTTTTATCATCAACTTTTCAGCAGAGCCGGTACGTGCTGGGATCGTTCTAATTTCTAAATCACACTGTTGTCAAGATGTTACATTTGTAAGATTTGTGGCATATTGCTCAAGGCATGTGTGTACCTGTGGATAAGGTGGTGGAGCTCTGTGGGCCTTGTCTTGTTGAAAGGCTCCCATCTCTCCTCCAGACCAGCCAGGGGATGCACTGCCAGCAGCAGCAGCAGCCTCCTTCTCTTGTCTAATGGAATTTCTCTGCATTTGTTGTCTGATTAAGAATTCCCTCAGTCTCTGGCGCTAAAAAACACAACAAGCAAAACCATTAGCAAAACAACTAGGAGGTGCATAAAATGACTGTTCACTAGCTGACTTTTTATACCTGTCGGTGCTTCTCCAGCTCAGAGGGGCTAAGCCCTACTAATGCGGGGTCCTGCACTGCTGAAATGTCAGGCATTTCTTGAGCACTTGGTAAAGCTGGCTGATGAGGTCCATCTGGAGGGCGGACAGCTGATAGTTCTTGAGATCCAGAAGGAGGTGGCACTCTGGAACCAAAGCCATCTGCTCCCATAGACTGCTGAGTTTGTGGCTGTGGTTGCTGAAGCTGACCCTGTAACATCTGACTCTGCTGTTGGGTTATTTGGAAGCCTCCCGTGCTTGGGCTACGGCTAAAATTAGGAGGTGCTGACGGTTTACCAGAGAGAGGATCCCCTGCTGAACTGTTAGTGGAATGGGGTGGAGGTGGCTGGTTAGGATGAGGTGAGCCTTTGTAACTTGCAGTTCCTTCTGGGGCGACAGAGGAGGGGCGAGGAGGTTTGTGGATAGTAGCAAAAGGGTCTCTAGACTGTGGCCTTGAAGGTGGCTGAGAACAAGGGTCTGGGGATTGGAAACGAGGGGTAGCAGGAGACTGGACAGAGTAAGCGTCATTCGAGAGGCCACCAGGAGTGTGGGGAGAGCTGCCCTGGGACTGTGGGCTGGAGGGAACTCTAGGGCATAGTTCCTGTTGACCTACAGGATGCCTCTGGGGTCCAAGAGAACAATTGTCGCCTGACTGCGGTCTTGGAGTTAGCGGTTGCTGAGTGTGGGGGTCAGAGAAAGGGTGGGAGGGAGACTGCCTGTAGCCTTCAGAAGGGTGGCCAGGAGAAGCTCCAGGATGAAGTGTTCCACCCTCCCCTTGGTGCATTCTTGGCGTCATAGGTGCCTTGAATAAACCATCACCAGTCTCCAGCATTCCAGCAGGGGAGCCAGCGGATAGGTCAGGTCTTCCAACTGTAGAGGAGCGCGGAGAAGGTGCACTCATATCAGCCCTGTACTGCCCTGTGCTTGCAGGTGAGGAAGCCACTGCAGAGGGTGATGGGGATGAACCATATTCTAGCCGTCCCATCCCTTGCTGGTTTCTGAAAGGGTCACCATAGTGGGTATTGTGGGGTGGTGAGAAGATGGGTGACTCCCCAAGCCCAGCACCTCTTGAGTGAGGACTTTCTGGATGTCCTAGGGACTCCTGAGAGCCTTGCTGTGATTGTGGTAGATGACCCTGTTGCTGCTGCAGCTGTGATCTGAAGTAGGGGTCAACCTGCTGAGCCCGTCTGGGGGTTCCAGGAGTTCCTGGTTGCATGTCAAAGGGGCCTAGACTGGCTGGCCGTCCCTGAGGAGGACCCTGTGGGCCGGAAGCGGAATAACCTGAGGAAGAGGCCTGCAAGGGGCTGGCCCCAGTATGGGAGAAGGGTGTGGTTGGATGGGAGTGAGAATGGGGTGACTGAGGAGGAAACTTGGCCAAGGGATCTGTCCGGATTTCAGCTGACCCTGGGGTCTTAACAGGTCCGTCTGAGAAAAAGACAGAGGATGATCCTGAATCTGGAGGGAAGGGAAATGGGCTTTCTGCAGAGCTGGGCTGGGAAGAGATAGACGTAGAGCCTGAAGGTGGAGGGATCTGGAGGTGTAAACTGGGCCGCTCTCCCTTCACACGCCCTGCCTCTGTCTTGATTGGCCTGCACACTTGACTCTCTGCCTGCTGTGAGAAGAGGAGGAAACATTTACAATCTGCAACACAACTCAAATGAAACATACACAACCTTTGTTCACCTTCACAATACAAAAGGATGCTGATGCTTAAACTCACCTTCTGTGCCTTGTTGATCCTCTGAGCTGCTCGGTTATCTTTGGCCTTTTGCTACAGAAAGAAATATTAAAGGAAATAATTAAACACACTTTCCTGTATTTCTGTCTTTGGTAATTCTTTCCCAATGGTCATATGATTTAACATTCAATAACAAGAATCTGGCATCATTGACTACATTTTAGAAACTGCAGGAAGATTGTTACATCTATATACATTTATATTTATTTAAAAAACAAAACAGAACATACCAGATATGGAACCTTGTCAGCAGCTGACACCTTCCTCCAGATCTTCATGATTTGCTTACAGCGACTAGCCCAGTCTGTAAAAAGAGTAATGTTTGACATCTGCTCAATATCTAAAAGTAATATAAACCTTAGTTTGACAAAGAATGATTATACAATGTTTGTATAAGTTTGTATATATGTCTAATAGGCTGTACATTCTGATATACTATTTCTTCCACACTCACCAGGGTAGTCCTGTTTGAGTTTGGGAAAGTTGGTATTGGCATAAAGAACTGGGGAAATGGTTGACAGTTCTCCCAGCTCCTCATCTTTCTCCCAGCGCTGGAGACTACGCTGGTTGTAGGACAGCCCATCACCTTCTGCCTCAGTGGGGGTTGGTGGGGAGGAGGGGGTTGCTGGGGTAGAGGGAGTCGCCCCAGGGCTCTCCTCACCCCCATCTGGACTGAACAGTCCTCCTCGGTCCCTGCACATCAAATGAGAGTATTGTCATAAATAAAGGGCGCGTGTCAACAACAGGAAAAAAGTCTATTCTAAATTGGATAAAATAAAATGACATCTGCTTTTACATTGTGATTTTCCACACAACTTGTTACAGAACTACACATGATAGACTGTTGGAAAATAAAATGCAATTCAATAATGGACCTACCGCATGTCAAAGAACGGTGACTGAGAGAGGCCAGGAAAGGCGTCCATCATTCCAGCTGAGGGCAGGGACCCTGCAAGAGATTTGTTGGATATGTCCTCAATCGTACAACAAATATGGTTCTGAACTTCAAAAAGGTTTTAATGATATCATGAGTTCATCTGCAGGCACCCCCTGTACACACCTGAGAGGAGAGCTCTCTGTGGCAGAGTGCTACGATTGAGTTCTCCCTTACTGCCCTCCAAGATGGGCTTCATGCCCCCCAAAGACGAGCCATCTGACACTCCCAGAACCTTCCTGAAGAACTGCTCGGAGTCCTGACTCTCCACCCCTTGTGGAAGACCTGTCATTACAGAAAAACATTATGTAAGGCATGAGGTTAACATTAGATATTGAATATTTCCTGAAGTTAATGTTGCATACTGTAGATACCAAAGTATCCTCTCAAGGAAGTACCTTCACTTTTTTCTGCATCAGAGTCATGAGGATCAGTTGATGCCTGGTCCTTCAGCGATGAGGATGGTGCAGAAACTCCTAAAATGTGTAATTTTAAACAAACAATTACCTTAAGACCATAACAATAAACCAGTAGTATCAGTGTCCAAACAGGCACTTACCTGCACCTTCTCCCTGAGCCTGGGGGGCCTCACCCCCCTCTTGCTTGAGAGGAAAATCATCTTTCACCACACGATCCTTGGCCTCAGCTAGTGAGAAAAGCAAAAAGGTCACACACCCTGTACTGACCTTTTTCACATCCAGTGTCACAAATAATTTTCATGTGTCACAGGTTAAGTTAGTGTTCTTACTCTCTGGGGCAGTAGTTTTAAGTCCTGATGGTGCTGCTAATGAAGGTCGGACAAGGCATGCGCCTGGCCTCTGCCCTGGTGGTATCATCACAGCTTTCTTACTCAAGTCTATTAGTGTCTTCCCAAAGAAAGCCTCCTACAATGAATTACAAACAATTAGTGTATGACTATTATCATATATATATATATATATATATATATATATATATATATATATATAGTAGGTTTCTTAACTAGCATTGGACATAGAGAGACTACAAACCTGAAGATAAGTTGGAAACATGTCCTCAAGTTTGCTCTTCTTCCGGCCCCGACGTTTCTTGGCCTGTTCTTCGCCCTCCACTGGTTTAGGATCCATTATGTTATCTGTGTCAGGGTGGGGTCCTACACATATATGTAACCATGAAATTTGATTTCCAAAACTTACAATATTCACAAAACACAACTGCGCTTACACTGCCACTAGTATTGGAAGGATGATGAGAGGGTGTTCAGACCAAAAACAGTCATGTTAAAAAAACTTTAGTAGTCCCACTAACACGATGTAATGGCCTTATTCAAAAGAATGAGGAGGCTCAGTTTTTTCACACGAGGCTAAAAGGGGGCCTTAGGGATGAGCTGATGTTCCAATAGTCAATAGCTGGAAATTAACCTATCTGATATTTCAAAAATGTCTTGAGCTGAATGCCCACACCATTTGTCAGTATTTCTTTCTGAGACCAAATTCATGAGAATTATCTCACTATTTTATTATAAATATTAGATTAAATGAAATTCAACTATCTCTTGTCACTAACCTTCATCAATGGTTCTTTCTATTGGCTGTCCATCTAACATAGTCTCACCAGCCAGCTGGGCAAAAAATTCTTTCTTCATCCGTGTGTGACACTTCCTTTGTCGCACCATGAAGCCTCCAATTCCTAGTACAGAAGATAATATTTGTAAATATTTAGTGGATGCTTAGACATCTATGTGGATGTTATAGTATGTTAAGTTGTTTTGTGAAATTCTGGGTATCTTACCAGGCCTGTAAGGTTTCCGCTTTCTTTTTTTGCTATCATCTGTCTCCTCTGCTCCTCCTTTGAGACCCTCGCAGTCAGCCATGCCTTCAGTTCCCTCTGCACCGGCACCCTCCCTGTCAGGACTCCCAGGGTTCTCCATCTTGGTTTCACATTCCATGGGCTCCCCACAGCCTAGATATACAGAATAACATTGAATTTATAGGTCTTGCAATAAAAAGGAGCAAAACACCCTGAAAAATTGTTATGGGTGCGGAGTGTATGCAAACCTTTTCCATCCTCAGCGTCTCCATCAACCTCCCTCAGATCCATTCCATCAGGACCTCCTTCACAACACAGAGTGCCGAGACGGGAACGGCGCTGCCGTCTCTTGTGTAGGGGAGACATGGAGATGCTGCGAAGCAGGGACATACCCGATTCTGTCAGCCACACACCCTCCAACCGGTAGAACTGGGGTTCTGTAAAGGGACATTTGCAAATATGAGTGACTTACAATACAACAAATAAAAAGTGACCAGGCAGAATCTGCTTGTGATAATAAACACGAATAAGCAAAAACAACTAACCTGGCTCTTTGATCTTTATTGAAGCCATAATGGCTGACTCCACTACCGTGAACAAAGGCAAAAAGCAGGTACAGAAAGCAAAAGAAAATAATGTTAAACAAAAATATCCAGTGTATATTTTTGAAAACATGATTCATGTATTCAGTTTTAAAGCAGGGTCGTTTTGAGACTTACCCACAGGTTTTGGAACATATGGGGTGCAGGATGTGCATGCAAAGCCTTCATCAGAAGCTTGTTCCACCTCATCCTCTGTGTACAGACTCTCACAAACAGCATGGACCCATCTGCAGAGGCACACAGAAATACATTGATTTGCGGTGTGATTTGTTGTGAAAAGTATGCATATCAAAGATGTTATGGAATAATTCATGACATGAAAAATACATAAATAATCCATTCCCCGCTTGTCTTCATTAGCTGCAGTCTCATGAATACCTCAGTTTCTGGTGTGTGCATGTGTAGTTCTAATGAGCAGTACCCACCGATCGCAGTACTGACACTGCAGCAGCAGCTCCTCCTCCATGAAGTTCTCTCTGCATACTGGACAAGTGACAAGGCTGGCACAGGGGCCACAGTGGGTGTAGTTGTTCTGCCACTCACAGTGGAAACCAGGTGAGTTGGAACCACACTGCACACAGCACACACACCTGCGCAGAAGTAGTAAACCACTCTGTAACAATTACACAGCTAATATGCAAGAAAAAAGACAAATACAGGTGCCTATGTGAGAAGTGTATCAATTTGTCCATTGCTACCGAAGCAAGAGGCAGAGGGATGGGCCTCTGAATTGCAAATGCAGGGCTGTGGCATGAGTGCTTTACATAATATGCAAATGTACATGTATTCATTTCCATTTGACCCCATTCAAAGCTTTAAGGCTGAACGAAGCATTGTGCTCCTACAGTTTAAATGTTTTTTTTACCATTTGCACTTCCAACCACCCTTGGGAACATTGTGCAGGGGTGGGTCCAAGCAGTAGGTGTGATAGCTGACATCACAGTCATCACACAGCAGCAGACGGGAGGGGTCCGAAGCCTTTCCACACACCTCACACACAATGCATTCCAGACAGCGCCAGCCCTTACGGAGCATCGTCTTGGTGATCTACAGAAGATATCAGGTTTAAATATATCTGGATTTACATAATAAATTGCTAAATAAAATGTAAAGGATAACATTGTGCTTACCTTGCTGTTCACACAGTAAGGATGGTAACATTGGGCACACTGAGCACAAGCCAACAACTGCCCCTCTGTACCCTTTCCAAAACTGCCACACACAACACACATATCCTACAACAGAGGAGAGAAAGTGAGAATGAAAAATAAAAGAGGGGAAACAAAGAGTCTATTTGTGTTACATTTCAAAGTGACAACGGTTGTTCTTGGCACAGCAAGTGCCACGGGGTAACTAAAAATGTCACATTACAACAATAGCTGTACCTGGAGCAGGACAAATTTATCAGTGTTTGAGAAAAGAACCACTGTGTTCTGCATGGTGTCATCTTCCTCATCATCTTCCTCCTTACTTATTCCAGTGTCTGAGGTCATGCTTAGCTGTGGGCGGGGATAAGGTGATAAACAGTTACAAATATATTAGACAAACGATTAAAAACAGTGATTATGACCACATTATAAAAAGAGAAAGAATTAAAAAAAGAACTGAATGGCGTGTAAAGTACAGCTCACCAAAAAGGCATCAATGCAGGAGGCCATGGCTTTGAGGCGTGACCTCCCACCACGCCCTCTCCCTCCACCACCCCCTCGAGGTCTACGCTTCCCAGGAAAACTATTGCTTCGCCCCTACAAGCCAAGGAAAAACCATTGTGTCAAGTCATGTTTTGAGAATGGGACAATGAGATCTTAAAAGGAAAAAACAATAGTTAAAAGCAATATGTCGGGTGGTTGAACATAATCGATCAATAAACACAAACCACCTTGTACATGGTGACCTCACCTGTTTGATTCGTGAGCGGCCTGGGGATCCTCGGCGTTTTGCCTTCTCTCTGTCGCTTCTGAGGGGTTCGAAGGGAAGTGAGTCATCGGTCTCAGTGAGCAGGTTATCTGTGTGTGAGCGGCCAGCAGGTACAAGGCCAAGTTCTATAGAGAGCTGAGGATCGGGTTCTCCTGGAGAGCCCATAAAGCCACTGCTGCTCTCATCTCCGTGGCTCATATTGGACATCTCGTCCAGCAGCAATTCAGGCTTAGTCTCTTGCTCGTGCTGTTCCTGCTTTATGTCCACAATATGCTCCTCTTCTTTCATTGGCTCATCATCATCTTCGTCCTCCTCCTCCTCCTCCTCAGAGTGAGGTAGTAACCTCCCTTCCATGTCCACAGCAGAGAGGGACTCTTGTGTGTCTACTGATAAAGAAAGAGGTGAGGGAGACCGGTGGTCCAGGCGTGGACTTCTATCCTGCTGATTAGCCATGGGAAAATACTCTGCTTTGTCCACAGAGGCAGGAGAAGCTGGTAACTTTGGTGGATCCTTACTAAATGGTTCTGTGATTGGCATGCCATCAGAGCCACTGTTTAATAACTCTGCTGATACTTCTTGTTCTGCTGAGGGAGTTGTCTCCTGCTTCTCCTCCTCTTTCTCCACCTCCATATTTTCAGGGCCCTGCAGTGACACCGGTGTTGGCTCTACTTCAGGGTTGTTAGACTGCGTCTCTGCTGTGGGGTCCGAAGAAGGGGTGACTTGGGTCACCTGGCTGACTGCCTCTTCTGCTCTTTCTTCATCAGCAGGTAGACAAGAGCCCCCGTGTTCTGTTGTTGCACATTCTACATTTGAGATTAAGGAATGCATGGTTATTAGTGTTAACATTTATAAATCTATCATTAGTTACGGCACACCATCATACAAATAATTACTACAGTGTGTTCTGTGTTTACCCGTGGACTCAGGTGGAGCAGCGGGTGCCTCAGAGGTGAATTCTTCTGTAGCTACCTTCGGCTCATCCTCCATGGTCCTCTCCCCAATGTCTGTTGTCTCAACAACTGCAGACTCCACCCCTAAAGCCAAAAGTAGTTAACTCACATAGGAACATCTTGGACATAAACAAGTTAAATTCTTATACTAGTTAAATAAAACTCATCACTGGTATGTCTTGTAAGCTTTCTCGTGTTGTGTCTGACTCAGACTTACCCAGTTCCATGGGTGTCTCTTTGTCAGTCGTGTTTTCAACCTGACCCATCTCTGAAGTGCCTCTCTGTACTGGTGTCACCTCTGATAAGTCTTTGTGCTCTTCAGTCACCATGTCTGCATCTGTTTGGATTGTCATCTCCACCAAATCCACATGTCCTTCAGTCTTCTCAGATACCTCTCTGGTTTGTATCTCTGCTGCATACGGTTGAGTGACAGGCTGCTGCTGATCCTTGCAAAGCAGGCAAATGCACTTGGCTTCTGGAAGCTCTCCTGGTAAAGCACACTCACTGTGCACCCATCTAAGACAATAAAGAGATCATCAAGAAATATTTTATGACCATGTGAGCGACAAGCCCACACATCATAGCTACCTCCAATGAACACTATTGTGCTTGTCCATAAAACTAACCTGTGGCACATGCTGCAACACTGCAGAGTGACAGATGGGTTGGCAGCTTTGCTGCACACGCCACACGTAGAGCTGCGGCGACGCTGGCAGGCCTCACACACAGAGTAGTTGTCAAACCACTGGGCCGAACCTGGCTGCACCAGTCCACGGACACCACACTCCGTACATACTCGACACCTCTGATTTTATACAGATTTAATGGGGATTAAAAAAAAAAAGCACATGAAAAAGGTGAACACTCAAATGTCCTGATAAAATAAAAACATTTTGTGACAGGAAGATTCAGTCTCAAAAAATGACATGAACTTGCTTTCACAATGAGTATTTAAAGTAAGGCCATCTATTTGTACAGAGGTGAATGACAAACAAGACTTACTCTGCATTTCCATGGGTCAGAGGGAAGAGAATCCATGGCTGGCTGAAGACAGAAGGTGTGGTAGCCCTTATCACAGGCATCGCATACCAACATTTTGGAGTCTTCTCCTGGTTGTCTAAGAAAAAGAAGAAATAGAAATAAAGTTAAAGTAAAGTAGGTAAAATTACTTTTAAAAAATGATGTAACTATCATGCAAAACGTTAGGCATGACATCTGAATCACAGGATGCAGCTAATTCACGCAATTGGTCTCACCTGCAAGTCTGGCACACTTTACACTCTGGGCACTGCCATCCTGCCCGCTGGATGGGCGTGGCACCAATCTCCAAACATGCCGCATGATAATGTTGGCCACAACCCGTACAGAACAGCAAGTCTGTGAGCTCCCCCGCTGAGTCACACACCGCACACCAAGACTCCTCACCTGCTGTAAAAAAAAAAAAAAAAAAAAAATACACAAAAATTAGGGTTGTACAATCAATCAAAAAATATGGCCAAATGTCTTCAGTTCAAAAGGGTAAAATGTGTCACAGAACAGCTTTATAATGAAGTACTAGAGTTCTGAAGAGATTCTCTGGTCTACAAATCTTTTTCTCCCAATACAAGAAAACACATTTGTTTGGTACGGACTCAAACAAATATCACAGCATCAGATTTTTCAGTGAAAATAAAAATAGTGATGCAAAAATGATATTTTATGACAAAGAGCATAAAAATGTTAGCTTTGGTAGAATAACAACAGTCTACAACTGATAAGGCCAAAATCAGTATGGAGCACACCAGTTGTGTTACAGGAATTATGAAAAAGCATTACAGCTTTGGCCTCGGACTAAAGACACAAGTCTTTACTGTGAGCATTTGGCCTAAGTAATGACATCACAATTTTGACAAAGCTGTGCGGTTCTCTTACCCAATTCCTCTGCCTTGTCTATGTGCTCTGGACAGAGGAGGACCAACTGCTTCATAGACTGGAAGGATCCACTGGCTGCCGAGCAGGGGAAGTGGTAGAACCGTGAGCAGCCCTCAGCATGGCATTGAATGGTTGCACCTAGCCTTTTGCAGTATTCGCAAAGCTGAAACAAAGCAATGGTAATAAGTAAGATTTTGTGAAGGAAGACTCTGTTAATCCCTATATTCCCACCAAATACCATCAAATTTAAGTCTACGGACACTGCACTTACCCGCTGCGTCCCTGAGATAACGGCCTTATCCACGTTCTCCAGCTCCTCATTCTCCATGCGCTTCACCCCCTCCGACCACACCGCACACCAGTGATGAACCCAACAACCCCCTATTCATGATAAAAGCCCAACATCAGTAACATTTCCAACTACATTTCAATTCTACATCTGTGTGCTTAGGGCTGTGTGATGTGACAATATATTTCGTTTGACGACAATAAAACATCTATAATTTTATATTTTGCTCTATCGTTCACAAATCACACTCTTCCAGAGTTCATATGAGATAAATATGTGCTCTGAAGAGGTTGATGAGGCAGAGATACAATGCAAAACAGGCATTTGCCCAGAGTTTATTTATTAATCTGCTCACCTTGCTTGAAATTGTGTTGATATTGTCTAGCCCTATGTGCCCTATAATATTATTAATTTATAAACAGTATTTATTTTTACACTAATGGTATATAACAGTATAATGTTTTGAGTTCAACCTGAGTCGTCAAAGAATGCCGCCAGACAGGGAGAGTCGGAAAATCCAATGGAAGACAGGTCATCATTCCCGGGCTGAGGCAGTGGAGAAGCTGATGGCTTGAGGGTGGGCCGCTCAGAAGATGGCCCAAAGTGTCTCAGTTCCCGCTGTCCATGCAGGCTCCGCTCCACACAGTTACAAAGGGCACAGGCTCGAACGCTCTCTCTGTACGGTCACCAACAAAAACAAATAGAGATTCAGTTTTTGATGTTGCATGAGCAGCTTCTTGGGATAAAGACCACAACAAAATCCGATCTGAATGAATGAAAAACTTACACAGGTGTGCTGGAAGAGGCTGCAGTAGCACCAGACACATCCTCAGCAGCAGGAAGGGCTTTAGACTCCTCCTCAGAGGAAACAAGCTGCTTTGAAGGGGCATTGTCATCAGCTAGAACACAACAAAAAGAAAATCATTTTATTTTAAGGCAAACATTGCACAAAATAATGGGCATAAATGGCTTTTCCCAAACCTATATTAACTTATCTGCTATGGGAAAAAAAACTTTTAATGTGTTCTGCCTTATTGTTAGCACCTCTAATAAATCACATTAATCAATCTCTATTGTAGAACAATTTAAAATGTGTTTATGTTATCAACCATGTCCATTTCTCTTTCAGACAAAAAGTCACACTTTGATATCACTCATCACATATACATTTGTAGTGGATGAGGTTGGGACAGGTGGACATTCTTTAAAAACAACACATTACCTGTTGGTTCAGAGTCATTCTCTTCGCAGTTCGATTTCTGCTCGTCCATCCCCTGTACTGATTTTGACCTCCTTGACAGAGATCTGCATTTTAAAAACATAAGCAGAAACAGCTTGTAAATGTCAATCAGAAGTAGAAAGGTTTAACTAAATGATTCACAGTATGTAAACAATGTCTGGGTATCTTATCTGATAACTGGCTATACCATAAACATTTGGTCTGTTATCGTGGCGTAAAGAACCAAGAGAGTAGATCTGAAAAGATATGTAAAAAAAATACTAAATGCATGAGATTTAGGGTTTTCCCATTAAAAATTAACATCAAAGTTAAATGCACGTTTCCAGTTACTAAAATAGAAAATGCCCTTGTTCACAAGTCAACATGTTTATAATCTTTTTTTTTTTTTTTTTAAAAGGACATCCCTAAAATACATCTTTCCTTGCCACACACTAGCCTCCCTACACATCCAAAAGCACTTCTTACATTAAGACTCACAGCCAACAACGTAACAAATTAAATAAGGTTGTTAAGGTGTAGTTAAGATGATTTCCTTGTGTTCAATCTGACCAGCGTTAGCACTAATGCAATCGAGCTTACACGCAAACTCATGAAAATAGCGCGAGGGTTACAGGAGACAGATCAATCGGAAAGCGCTTTAACAATTCAACTTATCATTTACCCCGCAATGCATAATCCAAATCGGTCAAACTGCAGCGTCAAAAAGCGCTAAATGTTAAAACTAAAATGGTGTTTTCCTAAATTAAACAACCATAAATCGGGATACACAAAGAAAACACAACTTCCGTGTGTATAACTTCCTGTTGCAGCGGGACTCCTTTCGTGCAGAACCTTTGTCGCTCGCATCATAGTTCCGCTACGAGATTCTCGCCATTAACAAAAAAAATACTGTAAAACAAACAATGCAGGACTGGACGGGCTCACCGTGTTTTCATCCACAGTAATAACAGGAAGTCATATCGTGTTTCTTTTTTAAAAAAAAGGTTCAAATGCCATGAACAGATAACAATTTAAAAAGGGGGCCTTCGCATTTTCAACCTATAGTATATGACTGCCTCGCTGATATGTGGTCACATCATCGTGTATGTTACAATATAAATACCCGAGAGAATCGGCCGTGGTGCGATGTGTTATGCTCTGATCAAATGGGCTTAAAACACAATACATGCGACAGCGACTTAGAAACCCAGATCCAGCTGAGTGTATCGCAGTATTTTCCTCTGTTACAAAACAAAACCCAGTGTGCTATCACACTTAGAGAAACATACTGTGAGCTAACGAGATCCTACACATTTAGAAAATGTTCCCTGTTCACTGAGGCAGCTGGAGGCAGATCCCCAGACCGAGAACGAGTGCTCCTGTTTATTCATTACAAATAAAGAGTACACTGTAATGCATTATAACACTAAACCATCGCCGATGTATATGCAGCTTTGTGAAATTTCATTTAGGGTTTTTTTTTTTTTTTTTAATGTTTGTTCTTTGGCCGAAACTCCCAAAAATAAAATTCAACATACCGGCACTACTAACCTAACCTACAGAGTATATGGCACTATATAACGACGCTAAGATAAAAGCACAAAAAGCTGTTAATGGCAGAAAGCATTTGAGCTGATGGACAAAATGAATTTGACGTTACATCTTCGTAATAAACGTACTCGGCGGCAGCAACACTGGAAACGCACTAAACAACAAACTAGCGTCAAATACAAGTCCTACAAAACCTCACTGGTGTTATAGCACAGCGGATGGGGGTATTAAATGGGGCTTTGTCTCTCAAATGAAGTTGCTTGTGTCCAGAGCAAAAGTGATGACATGATGGCTAAGTTAACGTCTTAACATCCTGGCTAGCTGAGTTAACATGTAAAGTGTGAACGCTACAAATTAACTTTCACGGTGAACGTATTTTGCTTTTTTTTTTATTTTTTATTATTTTGTTCGGTTGGCCAACAGCAGCTGTTGTTTGTTGCGGTGCCACGGTAAAAAGCTATTGAGATTTTATAGTTGAATAATTGCAGAGCTAAGCACTATTCCTCAATGTAAACACCGACTTCAAAGGGTTGGTTCTGTCCAGCAAATAGTCACGTCCATGTCACTGGCGACGGGCTGATACGGAAAAGCTAACAACTACCAACGGTGACGTAGCAGCAAAGTGTCCCGAAGAGGCAAAACTACGAGAAATATATCCAATATCATGCACTGGCACATATACTTCTACACCTGTCAACCGGGTACTCTATGGATCACAGTCTGGGAACCGCCAACGCAGAACATACATCAACCTAAAGTTAGCGCCCAGGTAACATAGCCACTACTCCAGCAAGTAGACCGCCCCATCTGGTCGAAGCTAACGGCTAACAGTTACCGACAGCAGAGCTAACGTTACCCGGTCTAAGGTCAGGGTTGGTGTGTCTTTAGGTACGGCTGCTGCAAGAAGTTTAAAGAGGCCATAATTAAAACTGCTCACCTCACAAAAACAATATCGTCTCCTCATACATCAGCAAAATCCAAACAGCCACACAGCTTCCCAAAATGCTGATGGTCGCTTCATTTTATGTACCGGACTAACGCTGCAGCTAGCCGGCTGGAGGGAGAGTGGGGGAAGTGCACGTCGGCGGAAGGCAGGCTGTGCGGTGGTGCTGGCTAACTAGCTAGCTCTTCAACTAGGTGGATAATGCTACGGTTAGCTAGCTAACCAGCAACTTGAGCTTTGTGTCGAGTGCTCGTGTGCTGCCGGGGAACTACCAAGCACCGAGACAAGTCGTCAACCAGTCCCGAGAAAGGCTCCCCAGCTCCATACACTGAATCCAAAAACTACCTATCTGGCTTGTTGATTTAGCCTGAATGCTAACAACCTGATAGCAGCTAGCCTCTGCTCTGTTCTGGAATCTGGCTCGCGAGGTCGTTAAAGCAAGTTTGCACAAAATAGTGCATCCGAAAATGACAGCCCCAAACTTTGTTGACACGACTGTAAATATATTTTTTCTGTAAGTTTTAGTCGACTGCAGACATTCGTCTACCTAAATTTTGCAGCTCAACTTTGCATTGGGTACCCTTGTGTGGGTCACTAGCATCTCTCCACTTCGCTGAACTGCGTTGCGTCCAACACACGGCTGTTCCGCCAAGTGGCTAGCCGCCGCTAACAGTGCGAGCTAATAACAACTACGTCAAAAAAAAAAAATAAGTCATGCAAAATAACGAGCTGAAAGAGTGTTTTATTAGTAGATATCAGTAAAAAAAAAAAAAAACGTGTCACGGCTTTAGTGCAACAGTGAACAGCTTTGTGCGAGGTTTGATAATTTACGACACAGCACGAGATTTTAATCTGGAGAGCGCGGACCACAGAAATATGGTAGATATCAGATATTAGGTCATTAGATTTTCGGATCTAGGGAAGCCATTTTTCATTAGATTGTTATGATTGTACGATCAAAGCTACTTTGACGTGCCTGCGGATGAATGCATTTGTTTTTATAAGCGATCAGCCGCGATATAATGGAGTTGGATTAGATCCATAATTCTTTTATAAATATTTCTTTAAATTCATTTTGTAATTAACATAAATATGTACTGAGCACTTGATCATGGTTGCTCACTTCGCCTGTTTCTTTTCTGCTGTGAAATGCGCATTTGGCCGGCGTGACTGAGACCGATTGGGAAGAGTAATCGACTTCAATCTGTCATGATCTGAAATTAACCTTGACCAAGGTTTCAGCAGGTTCACTGATGATAACCATAACCGAAATAAGCCAGTACTCATTATGCTGCTCATTTTGAGATGTTTATTGTGTACACTGACGATTTGTGGCTTCATTGTTTAGTCTTATTGCCCAGGCATGTAATTACCATCCACGTTGGTGGTATTTGTACATTATCAAGCAACATGGAAACGAGTAATGCAAATTAATGAATTGTATAGACCCTATTATAATACTGTATTGTGTTTAAAAGGCTGGAAATATCCTCAACCCTCCAGCAGAGAAGAATACTCCCTGGCACTGAAACAGCAGAATACTTATAATTACTTGTTCATGTATTTCATGTTAAAATCTGGTCTGAACTTAAGTCAGGGATCAATCATAATGTATCTGAACACGTCTCCTGTAGTGGGGTGGGATTGGGAGCGAGCTCTATCATTAGGTTGCCTTATCACTGTGAGAAAATCCTACAGTGGCATGGGTGAACCAGGGAGGATGGGTCCAACAAAAGTTGTTATGAGAACTGCTCAATTCCTTAATTGTTACTTTTGAGTTAAACTACCACATAGCAATGGCATGTTAAGATCTTCATACCTTGTATATAGCAACTTTGACGCATAGACAGAGAAGTAAAGTGAAATTTTATATATATATATATATATATATATATATATATATATATATATATATATTCAAGAAGTGTGAAGAGCCCAAAAGGAATTCTGGTAGGAAAAAAATCCTTTGTTCTGTAGACTACTGAGCCGTACACTGTCAGCTCTGGCAAATCTTCTAGTATATGTACAAGAGGATCTTGTTGTAGGATCTTTCAGGGGGCACAATGTGAACAAAAAGCCCGAGGCAGTAAACACAGTGAAGCTTATATGTCATTGAAATGATCCCGTGAACTTAGAGAAAATTAGATTGGGTAACAGTCTGTCCCATTATGAGAAGGTCACAGGTTTTAGCCACATCGGCTACTGTATATCTCCTGTCATGCCCGAGAGGAAAACACTGAAATGTTACAGCTAAATAGCTATACTGGGGCAATAACTCAACACTTACAAGTCACTGTAGAGAAGAGCATCTGCTAAATGTCTCAAATATAAAGGTAATGTTAGTGATCACTCACAAATGCCTGATAGCTCATCTACAATACATTGTGTGCTACGTAAGCAGTGGGCAACCACCTGCTGGGGGGGGCGGGAGCTGACCCTTCCCTGTCTGTGCTAATGCATATGTGCAGAGGCATCTATGTGCAGAATTTGCACCCCGGGGCTCAGATGAGACAGAACCATTATAATTGCAGGAATTCTTATGCAGTTGGCAACCATGCAACTAACTAAAAAGATGAAGAAGATGTTTTGATTGTGATAAAACATAAGAATTATGCTGCATACTGATAAACACCCAAAGAATCTTGTTAGAGATTGAATTGTTTATGTCATGGTGGAGACCGATAATACAAACTAAAACAAAAAACATAGCTGACAGCAGTTACAGATGTGAAACCATGCTCTTTAGAAGGCTATGTTTTTTAAAATCATGGTTGTTTGACTCAGCAGTACCCTGTAAATTGTTATATGAATATAAGTGGTTTCATATTTATGGTTTTTGATAGTTGTCCACTAGATTGACTGAAACATTAGCCTGGTTTCAATCCCATATGGTGTCGTAAACTCTATTTTCTGCAATACAAAAAAAAGACCTGTGAGGAAAATTCTTCACTGATGCATCTTTCTCCTTCATGTTTCATTTATTATTGTCATTAAAAGGTTTTTGTTGTTGTTCAAGCCTGATGACGCTGTTCTGTGTTTTACAAACGGAAGTACATACAAGTATATTTTGGCCAGGAAATGCCTGAATTCAGTGCCTGAATGTTAGGTGTGCAGGTTCTCATTTTGAAAATAGGTTATTACTGGTCCCTCTGACAGGATTAGTTAACTCCCCATTCAGCTTTAGCAAGATTGGATTAGATTTTTTTTTAGGGGGTGGGGGCTGAGACTGGCTGGAAGAGAGTGACTGATTGGCTGATGAGTGTAAATAGAGGGTGGTATTAGGACACCAGACTTTTCCTATTGGCCAGTCAATAGAGCGGGTGCTTTCCCATCTGCCTCCTGCATCTCAAGGATAATCCCCTAGAAATACCTCCACAGATGTTTACAGAGCAGAAACCGGAAGAAGAGAATACAGTTTTTGGGTCTCAGTGTGCACTTTAATACAGTTACAATCAAGAGTGCTGGAAAACAAAACAGTGTAAGCTACTTTTATAGGATGCAATTCATGGTTTGTTTTCTTAATATTTGATCTGTTTTGATTCCATAGTTCTGATAGCAAAGTATAAATATTTTACATTTACCAATAAACTATAAGTATTTAAAATCCATTCAAGGTTTATTAAATTACAGTTTATTATATAGAGTAGTTATTAAAAGTACATTTAAGAAAGTAAAACTCACAGGCAGGATATCAGTTCCTCCACAAGGGGGTGTATAACCTTGTGAACATATCTTGAATATTGCCTTACATATTATTATGAACCTTTGAAAAGTAGTTTTTCATATAAAATAATTAAAGTAAATGTTTACTAGTAACTGTAGACATAGCCTAGATGAGATAGAAACATTAGAAAGTTGTGTCAGCTATGAACTGTGCTAAATCTCTAACAGATATAGTACTTGTGACCCAAATTGATCAGTGGTTACTAATAAAACTCCCCTAAGTTTGTAAGAAACGTGATAACTCCCTTGCAGTAGCCATGTGATAAAAGTCTGTGACTGATAAAGTCAAGGTGCTGGCACAGTGGGGAATATTAAGTACGTCTGGGTTTTTCATTAACCAGTCAGCCTGTTAGACTAGACTTCCACAGAGGTCTTAGACACTGTAACATACATAATGCTCAACTACGACCCGAGAAATGATTTTTTGCATAGGTCTCTGGTTTCTCACACAAAAGCAACTCCGTTTTGCTAAACAAGCAAAAGGCAAATCAGCTTAACAGACAAAATTTACTCCACAGCTGAAGAAAAAGCAGAGTGTTGCTTAATAAAATGACATTTTAATTTGTTTTATGACATGACAATAAGTAAAGAAATACATGTAGTGGAATTATTATAATACAATTAAACATGTATATATTATGATTCAGAAAGTACAAAAATAAAGATTCTGTTGTGGGAAAATCCAGTCCTATCCCATTAAGAATATATATATATATTACATATATAACTGAAATAATTAAAAGAAATAACATGATGTACAAATAGACTATGATACAGTCATTTTGGCATGACCATACATCAACCTGCTCAAACAATATGTTTAATCAAACTCAAACTTTTATAACATCAATAAAGTATTAGAATGTATATTATTACTATAGATTATAATGCAAACAATGGTGAAAAAAGCAAGCAAGCCCTTCCAGTGCTTCTGATGTATTGGAGAAAAGAACAGGAAGTGTTAGTTTAAATGTATCAAAGTTATGACATTGAACAGTGAGACATGTATGGCGTCTATAGTGTAAGGCTTTTAAGGATGAAATGAGTTGGAGTCTAAAAAGATGCATCCAAAAGTGTACAGTAGTTTAGCATACCAGTGCACATCTGATGTCTGCCTTCGCCAGGAGTGCTTCTCTTTCATTTCCATCCTCAGAGGTTCACTCAGATTGTCTCGTTTGTTCAGACTGCCATTATTCACACATACACCTGCTTTGTCCTTTGTGGCCAAAGTGCTACAATGTTGTGGAGACTTAGTTATCTTTGATGTGTGGTTGTCTGTGGTCTGCTCTTCTTTTGTTGTCTCCCCCCAAAGCAGCTGTTTGAATGAGAAGAGGAGTCGCACAGGTCCAAAGGCCCAGTGTGCAAGGCTGTGGTCCTCCACCAGTGCATAGCTGGATGCCAACACACCATCAACAAACACAGTTCCAGCTTCCGTCAAGGGCGCATACACTCCCACACTCTCCTCTACTGAAACCGAGACGATTTGAGACAGACGTACTCGACCCTCTGCTGTATGGATGAGAACACAGTCTCCTGTTTTGGCTCTGCTGGCAAACTGATACTCGCTGCTGTCGAGTCTGCAATGGGGGGCTAAAAAGACCAAGTGATGTGGAGTAAGGGCCAATCTATGGCCATCCTCTGTCTCCAGAGACAGAAAAGTAGACAGGCTTTCATCGTCCTGGTGCAGAAACAAGAGGACTTGGCTGAACACAACTTGGCCTGTCCCAGACAGGGCCATAACTCGGTCCCCAGGAGCCAGTGACGATAGGGTCTTCTGCACCCCTCCAGCAACGGTCACCCGGGCCCAGCCGGGGAAACAGCCACCTTTTTCCACTGCAACAGAGTGATCTGAAGGGAGATCAGCAGAAAGCATAAAGCACTAAACACAGATTTTCTTAAATAACCTGATACACCATCTACTCAAGTGATGCAATTTGACACCGTTAACTGTGTGATCTCCTGTGAACTTACCAGCTTTTACTGAGCAGTGGATGTGATATTTGGACTCATAGTGGACCCAGTCAAAGCCAGCTTCCACAGCCAGCTGGGCTAGAAGACCATACTTCTCTGTCTCTCTGTCGTCAGTGGTTATATCCACGGCCCGGCCTTCATAGTGCAGAGAGCCTGAAGGGTGGTGACCGTCCTCATCCCAGGCCTCTGTCACACGTAAGTGTACCCCTGGCCACTGGTTCATCACTGCAATAGCCAACCTGTTCAAACTGTCCTTACATCGCTAGGAACAGAATGAGACAGAGGAAAAGTGGTCAGTTTGGAGCAGTAAAAATGTATAAATCAGCCAAAATATTGGACAATATTATTATAATATATTGGCACATATACTGGTCAATAAATAGTTATAAATGTATATATTATCAGATTTGAAAACTCAAATATCACTATCAGTATCAGTCAGGCTCTAGTGTAACATTATCCTAAAGAAAGATGCTGTTATGTGTAGGGTCGGGATCAGATAACTGGTTCCATTCTGGATCTGGTTCCAAGTTGTAAAATATTCAGACTCATTATGCCAATAGTCTAACAGCTACAAAATATTCAGGTAGTCATTTAACACATGTATATATACACACAGTATGATACTATATCTGGAAAACATGACTATTGGAACATATTTGAGTTATTGTTAAATATTTAACTATGATTTTTGTTGCTTAAAATTGTGGAATGGTAACTTATATGAACTTATAATCATTATCAATAAGAAAAAACGGAGTGACTGATAGCACCCTTTATGTGTAGGAATACAAGATAAGAGGAAGAATGGGTGAATTGTATCAACATTATTCCTATATCTAATTCTGAATGTTTCATTTTTACTTTTCTATTGTGATCGGCTTTTAGTTTATTTTGTCTTTTAAAATGTATGGGTTTGTTGTTGCGTATTGGGGCGTTTTGTGCATTACACTGTGAGCTTTTCTTATAATATCTTTGGATATTCTAGTTTACAGCTTGAAAACTTAAATTGAAAAAATTATAAAACTATAAAAAAATGATTTTTAGTTCATTTCAAAGACAATAAATCTATTTTAAGTCACTATCTGCAGCATGTGCCATGCACAATGAAAGGCATGTCTGAACTCAACTCAGGTGACACATTATCATTTATTAACAGGGGGAATGGCACAACCTAAGGCATGTACAGTATGTGAGCCTACTGTACACCTCAGTGCACAGACTGATTTCACTGAAGCTCACAAAAAAAAAGACAAAAATGATTCCAGCATTTCAACACTGTCTCTGGCTCGCAGGTTATGATTGTTTGTCTGCTGGCATCGACACACAATTCCTCCTCTACTCTGCTAAAGGCCATCTCAACCTTGCTCAAACAATCAGGGTACAAGAACAAAGCTACTGTAGCCAGTTTGGCACATTCCTTGGCCTTTTCGACAGGGTGACAGAATAATCAAGGCCATTCTCTTGCCTTTCCAGATTGTTCCAGGCATATGAGTTTCTCACTTTCACCCTTGAGACATTTGATCAGAAGTGTGCACAGTGACTTTTAACACCCCCGTGAGCTGTGATGTTACAGACTGTGTCAGCATTGTCACAAAATAGCAGGCGGAAAAAATACGACATCAGCAACTGAGGTGATACAGTCATTATCATCTTCTGAATGCATATTCTCATGTGACTTGTGATGTGGCAGCTCTGGTGGCCCATAATTGATTGAATAAATCTTGTCTTGCAACTGAATTACAAAAAAAAGAGGGTTGGGAAAGAAAGTGAGAGAAAATGATGGGGGTAAGAGCGGGAAGTTGGGTGAGAAGGAAGCAGTGTAGTGGAGGGCCAAGGTTGGGACTAAAGAGAGAGGGCAGAGGGGAAGAATGTATGGGCATGGACTTGGGAATGTGACAGCAAGAGTGAGAAAGCGAGAGGGACAGAAAACAAACTGGGTACATTTTTCTCGCAATGCCATTGAAGAGAGGCGTTTCATTGTCAGAACTACAATAGTCGCTTTTCCGACGGTGCCATTACTTCAGCAGGCGGGAATTTTGTATAGGCGACCCCTCTGAGTCTCCAAATGACGCACAAAGAGCGTCTTTCACATCTGGGCAAAAGAGGGGCACATGCACACATACACACACTAAAACTGGGCATCAGCAGGGCACGCACATACGGCCGCAGATTTCCATCACATACAATCACTCAGGGAGGGGAAGGAACACAGATTCATATCCGAAACAATCACAGAAAGCCACAGCATCCAAAGCAGGGTGACAGCTGAGTGTCAAGAAAATCTGTGGGCATATTCAGCAGTGTGGCTTTCAAAATGTTTGTTGTCCATCTACCAGCCCAGATCTTACATCATCTAGGATTTAATCCTCCACCGGTTGTCTTTTCCAGGTGCAATATTTTAATTTGGATAACTATACCCAGTAAACATTAAGGAATTCAAGCCTAAATGCCATACCTGGATATTTCTCCTGGCAGGCACACTGAAAACCCATCACAGGAATAGTTTTATTTCCAATAACAAAGACTTCGGTTAAAGATTAAAAGGAAGTGTTCCTGAAATGGAGCGCAGTAGTGTTGAATTACATCCTGATCTTCTTATCTCAAGAAAAAGGGAGGGGAAGTTTGGTTAAATCATACACACTCTGTGTTGAACATTTGTTTGAGTGCTAAGAGCCTGGCAAGGGCAGGTAGTGTAGAGTACGGTAAACAATGAATGAGGTTACAGGATTGGATTTGAAGGTGCCGTACTGGGTGGCAGGGTGAGAGCTGCGGACTGCTGTCTGCCCTCTCATGTAAATGTAGTTAATCAATCATCCAGCAGAGGGATTGAAAAGGTTCCAGAGACACCAGTGAGAGCATCCTTCAGTGAACCTGCAGCTTACTCTCTGCCTTTTTCATTGCACTTATCATACAACAGTCACCAGGTATCACTGGGATCAATGGAAACAAGTGATGCACACATGTACACATCTGAGAAAATCTTTAACACACCACACACTTACTCACCTTAGTCATAAAGCGGTCTGCGTTGGTGTTCTCCTCATCCTTGAAGACAATGTCTGGGTTGTAGTTGCATACAAGCTCATTGAAGCGCTCAGAGTTACGTGTGATCTTGCCCTCTGCTCTCCCGCTGGCGCCAAGGTTGTTTTCTGAGAAGTTGGGGAAAAACTGCTTGTAGTGCATGGCTGTGAGTTTCCTGGGCCTGGAGCGGATGCCGTAGCCAGGGCCCGGTCCGCATCCCTGGACCAGCCATATACAGGTCCACACAGCAAGCAGGCTGAGCTGTGCCAGGCGAGCCCACCAGGACTGCTTCATTGGGGAGGGTTGGGGCTCCCAGGAGTCAGTGGCTCACAGTGCCTACAGTGGTACCCCAGTTCCAGGTGTGTGATTGCATGTGAATGAGGGTCAAATCTTGGTCCATTCCAAATCATGTGGTGTTAGAGCTGATATTGATGTGACAAATAACTGTTGGGACATGTAGGTGCTTCTCTCTGTATTCACTCTTAGTCAGAAAAAAAGCTTAACAGTGCAAAGTCAGCTGTTCTGACTCTGTGTGTACTGTTTTGATGCTCTGAACAAAAGCTGTTAGTCCAGTGAATGATCTGATTGGCTGAAATCTAAAGTTTCTAAAGTTTGGTATCAGCTATTAAAAATAAGAAAATATGTTGTAAAAAGGTCTGTAAGGTTTCTGTCCAAATGTTTCGCCAACTATCAGCAGTTTCTAAGCCTCATGTGAAGTGAAAGTCATCTTCATACGTCCTTTGCAGGTACCAGCCTTGACGCAGGTGGTTTTCTTTGGGGGTTGGGGGGGGTTTCTAGTCACTTACCGCTTCTCTCTCCACGCAGTTCCCTTGACGAGACACACAAACTGACGCACGCCAAACAGCCCGACCGACTCCCTGCAGTTCCTATGGACGCTCCGGCGGCGCGCTCATCCCTTTTTGTCCATTCAGAAAACGTGTCTCCTGAGATTTTATTTCTCCTTCTCTCCTCCGTCCACCGTCTTCTGTCGCGTTTCAGAGCTCCTGGCCACCTTGCACCAGCCATTGGGTCTTATTAGCGTCCGGACAAGATTGCCCTCCCTTCCTCTGCGCGCTCTCACTGCGACAGCACACGCCTCCAATTCAACCTTACAAAGAGCATATGATTAGCCCTACTTATGTTAACACAATGACCTCCACCCCCCCTCCACCACATTAAATATTTAAGGTCAAATTAAAATGCTGATAGTTCTGGAAAAGTTAAACCAATGACACATAATAAAATCTACCCAAATGTTCTAAAACTTCTGAGATACATGATCATTTATATATCAACTGCAGCCCTTGTGAGTCATATTTAGAGCACATACAGTATATTTACAGTTGAAAATCCAAACTCATGTCAACTGAATAACTTTGAACCAACATGCCCTCGCTTCTCTCCGCTCATCCCACCCATCAGAGTGAATGGGTCAACTGTGATGCTCATGTTATTAATAGACAAAGAGTTGAAGGTGAGGGTCTGAGAGGGAACACAAGTGTCCAGCCTTGACACCCCCTGACTTACAGTGCTACCTTCCTGTGTTTGGGGAGCCAGCGTGACCCCCTGAACCCAAGTGCACCCAAGACCTCTCCACTGGAAACACCCGTTGGCCACATAACAACATATTATTTTTATCCATCTAGGAACAATAGCTGGGAGAGTCACAAAATGTGTCAGATAATGTCAAAGAGGGAGCAGAAAAGAAAGGAATCATTGTGTCTCAGGGATCTGACATCTGTAATCACATACGGAAGCTTAAATTAATGGTGGGCTAAAGGTCGAAGTGTGTCACCATGCTATCTGTGGTTTCCTGGAACACTTGCGGACTCAATGCATCATGGCCACTTTCTTCACTGAGACTTTGTTTCAAAGAATCTTTAGCCCACTCACAACAGAGCTGGATGTTTATTCACATAGCTTTGTGCTAGTAGATATCTTGGTTTGTTCTGATTGCATGAGGAAGATGCTTCAAGATTGAATCACTTCACTAAAAAGCATTCCTAACATCCAGTAAGACCAGATCTGATCTAGAATGTACCTGTGAATGTATCATACTGTGCCCGATCTGGTCAGCACTAAACTTTAGCATTTTGCGTAGTAGTGATGAGGCATAGGTCACTGAGCTCCACAGTGACCATGGAAAGGCATCCTTGTTGGGGAAGTTTCCAGAAGATCCCAGGATGTTGTAGGGAGGGGTGGCAAGGCGAAGCTGCATCTTCCTGTCCTTATGATAAACATGGACAAAGGCTCAAGTCTGGCCAGAGCACCACAGATGAGAGATATCAGCCTTCAAGACAAATGCAGGGAATGACTCAATCAAAAAAAAGAAACAAACACTTTCATATCTACAATTACCCACACCGATGTTTCTCTTCAAAGTCATACAAGAGAAGAGATTTCCATCTGACATGAAAGGGAAAGGAAGGAAGCAAACATCTGCGGGTTGGAGATGGAAATAAAGTCATTATTATTATTAGTTTTTTATTTTGGTGCCCCCATCCTCCTGCCTCCCCCTGCTCTTAGCATTTCACTCCCCCATTTCAGGATGGGAGTACATGGCTGGGTGAATGGTTGGGTTTCCTGCAAAGCCACAGCACAGAAAACGAGATCTTTCCTGCCTGGGTTAGCCTACCCTGCTTTGTTCCTTCCAAAAGGACGCCCGTGCTTGCACCTGGGGTAGTGGTCAAATAAGAGTACATACCTGCCAGCCAGGTTTTGTTATAGCTTTGTTGTTGTCTGTGATTTAGAGGATCACTAATATTGGCAAATTTACTAAGCAGCCAAGGATGAAATTAGGATTGCAAGCTCTTTTTATTAAGGATACAGTCATTGTAAAACAGAAATTAGGTTTTGAAACAATGCAAGCTTTGACATCTCAAGTGTTTGTCTTGTCTCTTGGAGCTGAATAGACACTCTGCAGGATCCATTTCCTCAGATGGAGGCCGTTAGAAGGGTTGGGGGGGGAAAGGAAAGTCAAGGAACTGACACCTAACCACCTTCCTCCCTGCCCACCACTGCACCGCCCATTCCACTGTCTCTCACCGTGTTATCAGCGCAGGAAGAGGCAGGGTGGTGCATTCTGATGTGGCTGCACACACTGGATGATTCTTGGCTTATGTATGGTAACTTTGTGCTGGTATTTCCTTGCCATGCTTCACCTTCAATGATATACATATTGCTACATGTGTGATGTGATGATGAAACACACAGTGATGTAAAAGGTGTACTTAAAGTCCAGGTTTGACGTTTCTTTGCTCAGCATTGATTTGAAAAAGAGCACCAGTGAGCTGAGGTTGAGGCGATGCTGCACTGAAGTGGACAATAGACCGAGAAGGGTGGAACTTCCTGGCACCAGACAAGCAGGTCAAAGGTCAGATATGATGCTATACTTCGTTCTGTGAACCTGACCCCCCTCAAAAAAGATAATTTACAATGTAAAGATTAACTGGTGTATGCTTTAAGAGTTTGAATTAAAGTAAGTTGTAATATTACAGGTTTCAACCTAAAAATCCATGTCACGTCAGTCACCTAAAGTTACCCAATGAAACAAAGGCATGCGCCAGTCAACTGTGTGAAGCAAGTGTGCCGTGAGTGTGCACGCAGGATGGCGGGCAGCTATGGCAAACTGACAGTGTGACCCATTATCAGTTGATTAGCGAGCAAGTCTCGCCTTTTCCTGTGAGTGGTTCTGTATTTGCAAGCGTACAAACTGAGGGAATAACAGCCCCTAATGCACTTTGGCATGAACTTCAAACAGCCAACTGTCAGGAAAGCTAATCTTTGTCTTTTTCCCCCCTTCATTCTTATGTTTTGACAATAAAGATAGCCTATCTCATCCCATTACAAGCTGCCCGTCTCCCGCCTTGTCCCCGATATGCCCGACAACCAGTCCAATAGAGTGTGTTACCCAATGGGACTGCTGGGACACTTTGATTGTACTATCAACCTTTATATTTTGCTGCAAGGAGAGGTGCTATCCTAGTTTTTCCCTCAACTAAATTGAAGATTATGTGATATTTATGTGTGTGTGTAAGTGTGGTTATTAATAGAGGCAAATAACAAAATCCAGTTTGCTATAGTTATTCTTGAATAAGCCAGACAGACTTTCAGTAACACAGTTGTGGCTTTGTTACTTTAAATTCTTTAGTTTCAGGGAATTTTTGTTCAGGGAATGGCTTCTAGGACTCATATGTATCGCACTGTCATAGATCTTTGTTGCTTATATTCACATGTCCCAAAGAATATAGTGTACAATGACTGTAAAATGCATTTCTTGAATTATTTTTGGCCCTCTGAATCACAGCAGCATGTGTCTGGGTTTGTTCATTAAACATTAATCACATTGAACAAACTCTTTCTTCTTTCTTTCAAGACACACCAATAATACACCAAACTGCCTTACACACCTTATATCTGGCTTATGTGTCACTTCCCTCAGAGGGTAACTGGCCTCCAGATGTGCATGTAATGTTACGGCGACATTTGAGTTAATTTCCTTTTAGCAAAGGAAACGCAGTGCAAAACAAAACCTAAACCAAATAAGCTTAATTAAAACATCCAACAAAACAAAACAAGAAATGCAAACAAAAATCAAGAGGGAGAAATTAATCAGAGTCTGGCTTTTCTTGAACTGACTTCAGAATAAATGAGATGAGGAAATGAACAATAGGCAAGGAAAAGGGATTGAAGAAAGGAGGTGGGTGGGTGGGTAGTGGGGACATGAAGGAGTGAATGTGAGTGAACGTCGCTTCTACTCCTGATTTGCAGGGATTTTATCTGGCTGTTGCATCAGAGTGGGGAAAGCGTGGGCTACGGCTGTAGTGGCGTCGTGGCTGGACCCTGCTGACAGACAGGCCAAAATATGGCTTTCTTCTGCTGCTGATTAAAGAAGTGCAACAAAAGGGTGGAGGGACATAGAGGACAGACGCCCTCACCAGTCACACACCCACCCACCACTGGCCACATCAGATCAATCACAATGTAGATACATTTCATAAAATGTAACAAACATGTAACAGCATCAAAGAAACAGTCAAAGTCACCTTGATGTGTATCCAAAAAGGACACAAGGAAGTTAAGGACACAAGATGATTTTTATTCCTTTCTTCTCATAAAACAATGATGGTTCAAAATTCAGAGCATTTCAAAAGGTAAACAATAAACACACTAATTTTTTTTTTAACTTTGAGAGCAACTCTAAAGATTTTTTTTGTCTCACCTGCATCACAATCAACATTTTTAACTGTTAAAAATCCTAAGGGTAATGTAGTATGTAGTAATGTCTCAACATGTGATGTACATCCCAAAAAGCCCATAAATAATGATACAAAACAGTACATTATAAAAATTTGTGTTCCCAAAAACCAAAAGAAAAATTCCCAGAAAAAGGTGAAATGAGTAAACCTCAGAGTGCTCCGTATATAATACATATAATAACTAACCAGAGAGACATACAGACTCACACCACACAGAGGCTGGTGCTGGTGTTGGGTTTGAGAGACACTGTCCCCTGCTGGTCAAACCAACAGCTAATAACCTGCTGATACAGCAGCAAAGGCAAACGGTGACACAGGATCACCAACACATTGAGGATGATGAGATATACAGCTGATAAACATGAGCAAATTTAAGGTATCAAAAAAACTGACACTGGAAAGGATTGCATGGATTGATAGTCACATTTGCTTTTTGAAAACATTCGCAAACTATTCTAAACATTCATCCACTGTCCAACAAAGAGGAATGAGATGAAAAAAAAAAAAAAAAAAACTTCACAGAAAATTAAAAGAAATCAT